TGGTCTCCATCTCCTGACCTCGTGATCCACCTACCTCAGCCTCCCAAAGTGCTGGGATTACAAGCGTGAGCCACTGCGCCCGGCCAAAGTTTTTTTTTTTTTTTTTTTTAACCTTTCATTATAGAAAAGTTCAAACATATACAAATATGAAGACTAATCCAAGAAGGCCTGGTAAAGCCCCAGCATCAACAAGGAACTTGTGGCCAAACATATATCCTATGGACAAGGGGTCAGCATTTTCTGAAAAGAGCCAGTTAGTAAATATTTTAGGCTTTGCCGGCCACATGGTCTCCATCACAACCATTCAACTCTGCCTTTGTAACACAGAAGCAGCCTCAGCTGATATTAAATGAATACATAAATACATGAGAGTGGGTGAATTCTAATAAGCTTTCTTTTCTTTTTCTTTTGTTTTTGTTGTTGTTGTTGTTGTTGTTGAGATGGAGTCTCACTCTCTCACCCAGGCTGGAGTGCAGTGGTGGGGTCTCGGCTCACTGCAACCTCTGTCTCCCAGGTTCAAGCAATTCTCCCACCTCAGCCTCCCAAGTAGCTGGGATTACAGGCACCCATCACCACGCCCAGCTAATTTTTGTATTTTTAGTAGAGATGGGGTTTCACCATGTTGGTCAGGCTGGTCCCAAACTCCTGACCTCAGGTAATCCACCCGCCTCGGCCTCCCAAAGTGTTGGGATTACAGGCGTGAACCACGGTGCCCGGCCATATGCTTTATTTCCAAAACCAGGTGTTAGTCTAGTCTGGTTGTGGCTTGTAACTGTAGTTTGCTGATCCGTGAGTCTATACCATCAACCACCAAATTTTTTATTTTCCGGATTATTTGAAGTAAATCTTAGACATTGTATCATCTTGCCAGTAAATATTTCAGTATGAACCTGTTTAAAAAAAACTCTTTAAAAATTAACCACAACATATTTATCACACCTAAAATTTTAAAGATAATTCCTGGCTGGGGACAGTGGCTCATGCCTGTAATCCCAGTGTTTTGGGAGGCTGAAGTGGGAGGATCACTTGAAGCCAGGAGTTGGAGACCAGCCTGGGCAACACAGTGAGACCCCGTCTCTACCAAAAATAAAGAAAATAACTGAGCATGGTGGCATGTGCCAGTAATCCCAGCTACTCAGGAGGCTGAGGCAGGAGGATCGCTAGAGCCCAGGAGATGGAGGCTGTGGTGAGCCATGATTGTGCCACTGCACTCCAGCTTGGGGGACAGAACAAGATCCTGTCTCAGGAAAAAAAAAAAAAAAAACCAGAGGTTTTTCAGCCCATTTGCAGAATTTTCCAGGAGATATATTCAAGTGAGAAAACCGAGATGTGGAGAAGTCTATATATGACAATCTAATTTGTGTAGAACAATGGCAAAATTAACCTCTTCAGTATGTAGGTATTTATGTGTATGTGTGGGTGTATGTATGTGATACATAACAGGTTTTTAACATGGGTTATAGGGATAGAATGACATCAAAACAGAAAAAGGAAAAAATCTGTACTTAAGAAAACAGCCTACATGGTATAATCCCATTTCTGTGTTTGTGCAAATGTACTGCTATGTATATGCACTTTGCAAAATTAAAAAGAGTTATGATTTGGCTGGGTGCAGTGGCTCACGCCTGTAATCTGAACACTTTGGGAGGCAGAGGCGGGAGGATCACTTGAGGTCAGGAGTTCAAGACCAGCCTGGCCAACATGGCAAAACCCCATCTGTACTAAAAATACAAAACTTAGTTGGGCATGGTTGTGCACGCCTGTAATCCCAGCTACTCAGGAGGCTGAGGCAGGAGAATTGCTTTAACGCGGGAGGCAGGGGCTGCAGTGAGCCACAATCGCACCACTGCACTGTAGCCTGGGAGACAGAGTAAGACTCCGTCTCAAAAGGAAAAAACACAAGGCCTGTAATCCCAGCACTTTGGAGCGGGCAGGTCACCTGAGGTCAAGATTTCAAGACCAGCCTGGCCAACCAACATGGTGAAACCCCGTCTCTACTAAAAATACAAAACTTAGCTGGGTGTGGTGACGGGTGCCTGTAGGCCCAGCTACTTGGGAGGCTGAGGTGGGAGAATCGCTTGAACCTGGGAGGCAGAGGTTGCAGTGAGCTGAGATCGGGCCACTGCACTCCAGCCTGGGTGACAGAGCGAGACTCCTCAAAAAAAAAAAAAAAAAAAAAGAGTTACAATTTTAAAAACGATTGAGAGGGAATGTTTAATGTCATTTGATGTCATTAAGGAAGTACAAGGGAATTTGCTTAGGAGTTGGAAAATGCCCGAGAGTGTGGGAAAACAAAGACTTAGTGGCCACTGCCGGTGTTGGTCAGCCAGGGAAGGCTCCGTGGAAGGTTTAGAGGGGAGAGAGGGGCAGCTGGATGCTCTTGGGCCACGGTCACTCCCTGATCTCTGCGCCTCTTCCTCCTGCTCCGGGAGAAATAATGTTTCCCTGGGGGATGAAAAGCATCTCTTTGTGCGGGCTTTAATTGCCATGTTGTTGTGCCAAGGGAGTGAGTGGCAGGCGGGAGCAGCAGCTGGGCACAGCCAATGCCAGGCAGCGGTGCCCGCTCCCTCAGGACGGCCCAGCCAGCTGACTCCCGGGAGCGCTGCCCACCTCTGCCCCCAGCTGGGCGCCTGCCGAGGGACTGACCACCCGTGGGGCTGGGGGAGGATGACTGGAGGAGGAGAAAGGGGCAGGCATCTGGGAGGGTCTCAGCCACTCTCAGAGGCTTATTCATCTCATCCTCATTTCCCCTCCCCCCTTCTTGTTTTTCAGACTGTCAGCATCAATAAGGCCATTAATACGCAGGAAGTGGCTGTAAAGGAAAAACATGCCAGAAATATCCTTTTGGATGTTGCTTGGAAGACCGACCCCGAGGCAGGTCAACTCGTGGGGACTGAGGTCAGGGCCAGGCTCCCTTGCTCAGCTCCAGGAAGGGGCAGCCCTGCACAGGCCAGGTCCCTGCAGCTTCTGATGATGGCAGCTTCTCAGCGCTGGCTGCAGAGACCACAGACCTTCCGGGTGGCAGACACCAAAGAGGCCGTGGAGCTCAGGCCTTTCAACTTACCAAAGATCCTGCTCCTTTCCTTGAAGACTTAAGCATTCCTTTCTTTCCTTTTTCCGAACGGGGTCTTGCCATGTTGCCCAGGCTGGAGTGCAATGGCACGATCATACCTCACTGCAGCCTCCAACTCCTGGGTTCACGCAGTCCTCTCGTCTCAGCCTCCCGAGTAGCTGGGACTACAGGTGTGCACCACTACACCTGGCTAATTTATTTTATGTTTTGTAGAGATGGGGTATTGCTCGTTGCCCAAGCTGGTCTCAAGCTCCTGGCCTCAAGCAATCCTCCGTCCTCCGTCCTCTGTCACCCCAAATTGCTGGGTTATGGGGGAGAGCCGCTGCGCCTGGCCGACTCAAGCTCTGTAGAATGTCGAAGTCACTTGAAAGTCACTTTCCTTTGAGAGATCTCCTGGGGGTCAGGAGGAATCTTCACCTGTTATTGAAGCCCTCCAGTTCCTCTCTTTGCCCACAGGGACACAGGGACCACTCCTCTGGGGGTTACATAATCAATAATCCTCTCCTTTTCTAAGCATGAAAAGGAGACAGAGTCTTTTTTGAGACAGAGTCTCACTCTGTTGCCCAGGCCGGAGGGCAGTGGCATGTTCTCGGCTCACGATTCTTGTGCCTCAGCCTCCCGAGTAGCTGGGATGATAGGCTTATGCCACCACACCCGGCTGATTTTTGTAATTTTAGTAGGGACAGGGTTTCGCCATGTTGGCCAGGCTGGTCTTGAACGCCTCTTACTAAAGTGCTGGGATTACAGGCATGAGCCACCACTCTTGGCCGAAAGAAGAAAGTTTTAGCTTCAGAGGTTGATTGGCCTTAAACCGAGGCAGGGGCTCTCTACCTTCGTGAACAGGTTCAACCTAAGCCAGAGGGGAGAAGGCAAGAGCCTTGAAGTGGATTAGGAAATGGATGGCTTGAAAAGCCCTCTGTAAGCCCACTTTGTAGAGAGGCGCAGGACCTTGCTGGCTGATGAATACCTAGGGATCTGCCTTCGTGTTGCAGAATCCAGGAGCTGGACAGCTTAATCCCCAAAGGCTGAAGGAGAGAGGCTGCCAGGAGGGTGGCTAAGCTTTTAACTCTCTGTGTGCTGCACCAGAGCAAGGTAGAGTTCCGGGCAAGCAGAGTTGGGAATTTTTTTTTTTTTTTTTTTTTTTTTTTTGAGACAGAGTCTTGCTCTGTCGCCCAGGCTGGAGTGCAATAGTGTGATCTCAGCTCACTGCAATCTCTGCCTCCCAAGCTCAAGAGATCCACCTGCCTCAACCTCCCAAGTAGCTGGGACCACAGGTGTGTATCACTACCCCTGGCTAATTTTTGTATTTTTAGTAGAGACAGGGTTTTGCCATGTTGCTCAGGCTAGTCTCAAACTCCTGAGCTCAAGCCATCCTCCTGCCTTGGCCTCCCAAAGTGCTGGAATTACAGGCATGAGCCACCGCGCCCAGCCTTGGAGCCCACGCCCAGCCTCGGAGGCTGGACTTCTGTCTACAACGGGAAGCTCCTCCTTGCCTGGGCTCTTGGTTGCTGTGCCACAGCCAGGCAGGCCAGAGCAGCTTGTCCCGAAGCCTTCTGGCCTTAACCCCTAGAGGCGACCCTCCAGGTTAGCTAGCCAGAGAAGCCCAGCATTGCTTAGTGTGGTGTGTGAACTGCTGTTTGCTAGAGGGAAAGCAGCTTGCCTTTAGTGGGAAGATGCTTTGGCTGGAATTAGCATGGGGGCCGCAGAACCCCTCTGGGGTGACCCAGAAGTCCAGTCCTACGCAAGCCTAGCTAGATCTTGCTCTTTTTTTTTTCCCCCAGAAAGACACAGGCCCCTTGCTTTCCTGCACCACGTTTGGTACCCTTGCGATGATCCAGAGCAAACCAAGAGAAGCCTTTATTTTAAATGGCCCAGTTGATTTTCTCAGAGGAAATGACTCAGCCCTGACCCTTACCTACAAATAATTTGTGATCAATCTGATAAATGATATGAGTAAGGGAGAGACTGTTGTCACCAGGCAGCGTGCTGTTCAGGACAAGACATGGGCGCAGAGAGGCCAGGCCTGCAGCGGCAGGGTCACGTCACATGCTGCCAGGGAGGCTCCCTGGGAGGAGGGAAGGGACCCTGCAAGGAGATTCTGACATCCCGCCACTGGAACTCTCGGGCTCACTCTGGGACCTTGAGTGGGGCCTCCATGAGCCTTAGGTCACTTTCCGTCCAATCAAAGGTTGGACAAAGAAGATTTCAGGCCAGGCGTGGTGGTGGCTCACACCTGTAATCCCAGCACTTTGGAAGGTGGAGGCGGGTGGATCACCTGAGGTCAGGAAGAGACCAGCCTGGCCAACATGGTAAAACCCCGTGCTACTGAAAATACAAAATTAGCCAGGCATGGTGGCAGGCACCTGTAATCCCAGCTACTTGGGAGGCTGTGGCAGGAGAATCACTTGAACCCGGGAGGCAGAGATTGCAGTGAGCCGAGATCATGCTACTGTGCTCCAGCCTTGCCAACAAGAGCAAAACTCCGTTTCAAAAAAACAAAGTAGATTTCAAAGATTTAACAGTTCAGCTCTAACATTCTATGAGTCTCTGATTCATAATTTCTAAATGGCGAATAAATGTTGAAAAATCAACTCCATACAGTAGGGTTTGAAATGCCTAATTAAAGATTATTTATTTATTTATTTATTTATTTATTTATTTATTTGAGGCAAGGTCATGCATTGTCACCCAGGCTGGAGTGCAATGACACAGTCAGGCTCAAGTAATCCTCCCTCCTCAGCCTCCTGAGTAGCTGGGACTACAGGCACATGCCATCATGCCTGGCTATTTTTTTATAGAGATGGCGTCTCGCCATGGCCCAGGCTGGTTTTGAACTCCTAGCTGGGCTCAAGCAGTCCTCCCGCTGAGCCACCACACGGAGCACATTTATCGTTATCGGGTCTTTTATCAGCTGCCTTAGATACAAACTGAATAAGCATTAGGAAGTCTGACTTCAGACATGCTGTTTACCCATTTATCACAGATGCCCAAATGGTGAAAAGGTTGGCCCGCCACCTTGGTATTCACTCCTGGAGGGCTGGGGACTGAGTTTTATTTTTCTTATTTTCTTTTTTTCTCCCTGAATGGATTTTACAGTCTTTGACACACACTTGGGGCATAAAAATGCTTATAATGTGAAAGAATGCCAGAAAGGTCTCCTCGCCCATTTCAAAGTCAGGGTTCCTGAGCTCGGTGCGATGGTTTGCACCTGTAATCCCAGCACTTTGAGAAGCCCAGGCAGGAGGATCACACAGCCCAGGAATTCAAGACCAGCCTGGGCAACATAGTGAGACCCATCTCTACAAAAAGTAAAAAATTAGCTAAGTGTGTTGGTGCACGCCTGTAGTCCCAGCTACTTGGGAGGCTGAGCGGGGAGGATCAGTTGAGCTCAGAAGTTGGAGGCTGCAGTGAGCTGTGAGTGCACCAATGCACACCAGGCTGGGCAACAGAAGGAAACTCTGCCTCTAAAAACTTAATTAATTAACAAAATTAATTTTAAATTTAATAAAATAAAGCCAGGGTGCCCGGCTAGCTCTGCACTCAGCTTCGGTTTAGGAGGCTGCTCTCAGGAAAAGTAAGCACTGTCCGCTGGGAGAAGGGAGTACGGGGAGGCTGGGGGTTGCTGGTCTCTCCTCACTGCTTCCTTGCAGTCTGCAGAGGCTGTGCTTTAAGTGAAACCAAAAATTATTTCAGAAATCACTCTTACACCAAGGTCGGGTGCGGTGGCTCACACCTGTAATCCCAGAACTTTGGGAGGCCAAGGTGGGCGGATATCTTGAGGCCAGAAGTTCGAGACCAGCCTGAGCAACATGGGGAAACCCCATCTCTACTAAAAATACCAAAATTAGTCTGGCGTGGTGGCGGGCACCTGTGATCCCTGCTACTTGGGAGGCTGAGGCACGAGAATTGCTTGAACCTGGGAGGTGGAGTTTGCAGTGAGCCAAGATTGTGCCACTGTACTCAGGGCTGGGCGACAGAGTGAGACCCTGTCTAAAAAAAAAAAAAAAAAAAAATAGAAAGAAAGAACGAAAGAAAGAGAGAGAAGGAAGGAAGGAAGGAAGGAAGGAAGGAAGGAGAAAGAGAGAGAGGGAAGGAAGGAAGGAGAGAGAAGGAAAGAAAGAGAAAAAAAAGAAAAGAAAGAGAAAGACAGAAAGAAAGGAGGAAAGAGAAAGAAAGAAAGAAAGAAAGAAAGGAAAAGAAAAGAAAGACTCCTGTATCAAAAGCTGACTTTAGCTTCCAGACCCAAACATCTGTTTAAGCCCACCCCTCACTAAATGAAAATGTCATTGGCGAAAGGAGCTTTACGGTATTTTCCAGTTCAGAAGCAAAATAACATGTGCTCCGGGTGAGTCATTTAGTTTCCTACCTGAGGCGAGTCTTTCTGCCCTAAATGACAGCGCACTTGTGACCTGAGCCTTGCTGAGTAAAGCCTAAAGTTCCGGGCACAGAGTTGTCCTTACAGCTGACGGTGCCCAGTTGGTGGGTCCGTGAATCTTGTCGAAGCACACAATTACAAAAGTGGAAATTCTCCCTTCACTCCACAAAGAGCTCACTAATGACAGAGATCTAGAATGCTGAACTTAAAATCATGTGAGGCCAGAGGGACATTTATTTTGAGATGGAGTCTCGCTCTGTCGCCCAGGCTGGAGTGCAGTGGTGCGATCTCGGCTCACGGCAGCCTCCACCTCCCAGGTTCAAGTGATTCTCCTGCCTCAGCCTCCCGATTAGGTGGGATTACACGCATGCACCACCACACCCGGCTAATTTTTGTACTTTTAGTAGAGACGGGGTTTCACCATGTTGGCCAGGCTGATCTCGATCTGCTGACCTAGTGAGCCGCCCACCTCAGCCTCCCAAAGTGCTGGGATTACAGCCATGAGCCGCCACGCCCGACCCTGGTGAACATTTATTACATGCAAACTGACGACTATCTGCAGGGGGTGGGTGTGTTTGGAATTAGGCCTGGGGAGAAGCGGTTCCAGGATCCCATATATGGGGAATTCAAGGTGTGGAGACATTGAAGGTGCCCCTGAATGGGGCCAGGCAGGTTTACGGAAGAAGTGGGGTGTTCAGGTTTACGGAAAGTGCATTTTAGACAAAAGATTGCTGCTGTCAAGGCAAGTACAAGGCTGGCTAAATGGAAAGGGGCCAGAGGTGCTGCCTGGAGGAAGAGCCAAGGGGTCAAGGTGCAGGATTCCCTGCAAGGACCAAGTTCCTTAATGGGGAGCGGAAGAACACCCTCACTTTTTTTTTTTTTTTTTGAGATGGAGTCTTGCTCTGTCACCCAGGCGGCTGGAGTGCAGTGGTGTGATCCTGGCTCACTGCAACCTCCGCCTCCCAAGTTCAAGCGATTCTCTTGCCTCAGCCTCCTGAGTAGCTGGGATTACACGCACCCACCACCACGCCCAGCTAATTTTGTATTTTTAGTAGAGATGGAGTTTCGCCGTGTTGGTCAAGCTGGTCTTGAACTGTTGACCTCAGGTGATCCATCCACCTCGGCCCCGCAAAGTGCTGGGATTACAGGTGTGAGCCCCTGCGCCCGTCCTGCACACCCTCACTTTTAATAATGCACCAGAAAGAACCTGAGGAAGCCCTCAAATGTTGTTTAAAAGTTAGGTGTCATAAGGCCAGACACAGTGGTTCATGCCTGTAACCCCTGCACTTTGCGAGGCCAAGAGGGGAGGATTGCTTGAGGCCAGGAGCTTGAGACCAGCCTGGGCAACACAGCAAGACCCTATCTCAACCACCACAACAAATAGCTGTAGTTATTCCCGAAGGAGCCATCATCAACTCAGCATTCTCATAGAAAGGGCAACCCAATACCACCGTGGCCTACAGGGTATTTGTGCAAATTAGAAAAAGACACACCTGTCTCTCGAGACACTTGCATCTCGGGAAATTGTCTACTCAAGTGGATTTTATTAGAACAAGTATTCCCATCTGCCCTAAAACTCCCAGAATGAATGTACAGTTCTATGGTATCTTAGCTCTGAGCGGCACTCCCTCCAAGGCACTGCCAACCATGACTTGCACAACTGCTCGGTCCCCTGCAGTGACTGAATGCAGGCTCAGTTCCCTACAGTGGCTGGGTGCAGCCTCTATCCCCTGCACTGGCTGGGTGCAGGCTCGGTCCCCTGCAGTGGCTAGGTGCAGCCTCTATCCCCTGCAGTGGCTGGGTGCAGCCTCTATTCCCTGCACTGGCTGGGTGCAGGCTCAGTCCCCTGCAGTGGCTGGTGCAGGCTCGGTCTCCTGCAGTGGCTGGGTGCAGCCTCTATTCCCTGCACTGGCTAGGTGCAGCCTCTATCCCCTGCAGTGGCTGGTGCAGGCTCGGTCTCCTGCAGTGGCTGGGTGCAGCCTCTATCCCCTGCAGTGGCTGGGTGCAGCCTCGGTCCCCTGCAGTGGCTGGGTGCAGGCTCGGCCTCCTGCAGTGGCTGGGTGCAGCCTCTATCCCCTGCAGTGGCTGGGTGCAGGCTCGGTCTCCTGCAGTGGCTGGGTGCAGGCTGGGTCCCGGGAGGCAGGGCCCATGCCGTTGTTTTCCATAACCCCCCCCACCATGCATACTGGGCACCCACCATGAGAAAGGGGCACAGACCTTCTGGTCTGTTGTCAACCGCCTGCCTCTGTCTAGCAACGCAGTGCTCTGCTGGAAGTTCTGCCATGTGTTCCATAAACTCCTCCGAGACGGACACCCGAACGTGAGTTCCTAGGGCTGTGGGGTGGCAGGGAGCCAGGGACCCTTGTGGGGAAAGTAACTGCCTGGGCCACAGAGGCTGCTGTCCTCTCCCACACTGCCACCTTCTCCTGGCCTTTGGGTTCCCCATCAGAGGTGGGTGAACCTCTCTCCCATCAGCCTGTCCCCCCGCCACAGGTTCACCTCCACCTCTCTCCATGCTCCTTCCCTTTGTCTTTCCTTCCTTCTCCATTCTCTCATGGGCTGCTCTTTTGCCTCTGCAGGTCCTGAAGGACTCTCTGAGATACAGAAATGAATTGAGTGACATGAGCAGGATGTGGGTGAGTTTGCAGATGTACCCAGGAGCCACCTGCTCCTCCTGTCCTTCCCCAGAGGCCACAGAGTAAGGACTGAAGGGTGAAATAAATTGATCTCCTTCAGCTTGTTGAGGATTTCTCCCATGAGCGCCAGAGAGAGACTAAGGATGCCCCCAAAGAGTACCATGATATCCATAGTCTTGCCTGGGGTCCCTGGATGCTTCAGGAAAGGTCCAGGGCCCGGGAGCTTCTCCTGCCAATGGAAACTCATGTCACAAAGCTGTGACATGAGTTGGGATCCCTCAGCAGTAGCTACACGCCATGGTTCCTGGTTGTTTTTCTTTTTTTTTGGTAGAGATGGGGTCTCGCTATGCTGCCCAGGCTGGTCTTGAACTCCTGGCCTCAAGTGATCCTCCCACCTCAGCCTCCCAAAGTGCTGGGATCACACACATGAGCCACTGTACCCAGCCCACAGTTCCTACTTCTCTTCTCTTTTTTTTTTTTTTTTTTTTTTTTTTGAGACGGAGTCTTGCTCTGTCGCCCAGGCTGGAGTGCAGTGGCCGGATCTCAGCTCACTGCAAGCTCCGCCTCCCGGGTTCACGCCATTCTCCTGCCTCAGCCTCCCGAGTAGCTGGGACTACAGGCGTCCGCCACATCGCCTGGCTAGTTTTTTGTTATTTTTTAGTAGAGACGGGGTTTCACCATGTCAGCCAGGATGGTCTCGATCTCCTGACCTCGTGATCCACCCGTCTCGGCCTCCCAAAGTGCTGGGATTACAGGCTTGAGCCACCGCGCCCGGCCCCTACTTCTCTTCTCTTTCCACTGGTCCCGTTGGAGTCATAGTACCTTGAGAATTAGAATTAGCATACCCAGTTCTTAATGCCAGAGCTTTTTCTTTCCTGTTTAGAGATTCTCAGTGCTTTAGGATGAGGGAGGAGGTAGGTGGCAATATCACAGTCAATGGAAAAGAGCGTTTCTATACACAGAGCACAATCACCCCAGATTCTGATGTCCGTGGGTGTGTATATGGAGAGGGGTAGTTTGCATTTTGAAGAATCTCCCTTGGCCAGGCGCAGTGGCTCACACCTGTAATCCCAGCACTTTGGGAGTCCAAGGCAGGCAGATCACCTGAGGTCAGGAGTTTGAGACCAACCTGGCCAACATGGTGAAACCCCGGCTCTACTGAAAATACAAAAATTAGCCCGGTGTGGTGGTGTTTGCCTGTAATCCCAGCTACTTGGGAGGCTGAGGCAGGAGAATCGCTTGAACCTAGGAGGCAGAGGTTATGGCGAGCTGAGATTGGGCCACTGCACTCCAGCCTGGGTGACAGAGTAAGACTCTGTCTCAAAAAAAAAAAAAAAAAAAACTCCCTGGTTGATTCTGATATGTTCTTTTGCCTCTACCAGTTGAGAACTACTACTTTAGCCTTTTTGCACAGTCTTACCTGTATCTGTCTGCACCTATAAAATGTTGGCAACTATGTAGTCCTATCTACCTATCATAGGTGAGGAAACACAGGCCCAGAAAGGGAAGCAGCTTATCCTAAAGTCACAAAACTAGGTACCAGAACAAAGTTGAGAGTTGTCCCCAGATTGCCCAACTGTGTGCCAGAAAATATTCCCTGTAACATGTAAAGCTTAAGTCTTTTTCCTTTTTGTTAGAATTTGCCTGATATATATTTCACCATCTTTCGACTTTAAGCATTCCTGTATTTTTACGTTTTAGAAATAACACTTACAAATAACATTTGGTTGGATTTTGTGTGGTTTGTGGTTGTTGTTTTTTATTCAGGATGGTAGTCTTTGTCTTTTAACTGGGCATTTAGTCCATTTACATTTATTATACTACATGGTATGTTTAGATTTATGTCTCCCATTTTATTTTATGCTTTCTATTTGTCCCATCTGTTCTGCTTCTATTTCTCTCATTCCTTGCTTTCTTTTGAATTAACTGGGTATTTTTTTCTCATTCTGTTTTTTCCTCATTACTGTTTGGGAGGTTAAAAAACAAATCTACTTTTTTTGTTTTTGGCATGTTCTCTAATAATTACAAAATGCTTGCTTGGTTTATCTAGGTCTACCTTTCATATCTTTGTTTCTTGTATAACACAAAGACTTTAGAATATTTTAGTTCCATTCAGTTCCTCAATTTATCTGTTAGCATAACATTTTGGTTTTGATTATGTTTATCTGTAAACTCTGTAAGTTACTGTTTTATTTTCCTTGTTTTATTCTGTGCTCTCCATAGACCTTCCATCTGAGATCACTTTCTTTCTGCCTGAACTATTTCTTTTATAACTTCCATAATGAAGAGTCTATGTAATCCCAGCTACTTGGGAGGCTGAGGTAGGAGGATTGCCTGAGTCCAGGAGTTCGAGGTTACAGTGAGTTATGATCACACCACTGCACTCCAGTCTGGGCAACAGAGCAAGACCCTATCTCAACCACCACAACAAATAGCTGTAGTTATTCCCGAAGGAGCCATCATCAACTCAGCATTCTCATAGAAAGGGCAACCCAACAGGGTTTTGCCATGTTGGCCAAGCTGGTCTTGAACTCCTGACCTCAGGTGATCCACCCACCTTGGCCTCCCAAAGTGCTGAAATTACAGGCATGAGCCACCACGCCCGGACGAGAATGTCATTATTTCAACCTCACTCATAGAAGGTATCTTCTCTGGGTTTAGGTTCTAAGGTGACAGTTATTTTCCCTCAGCACGTAGAGGATATTTTCAAGATATCTTTCCACTGACTTCTGGCTTTGATTATTTTCATGGAGTTGGCTGTGAGACACTGTTGCGCCTTTGAAGCTAACATGTGTTTTATCTCTGGCCATTTTAACATCTTAGAATGTGTCTAGGAGTGAATTTATTTTGGATTCTTTGGACGGTGGGTTAATGTCTTTTATTAGTTGTGAAAATTTCTCATTGTCACTTCAAACACTGCCTGTGCTCCATTCTATCTTTTCCTTCTCAGATTTTTTTTTTATACGGAGTCTCACTCTGTTGCCCAGGCTAACTGCAGCCTGCGCCTCCCAGGTTCAAGTGATTATCCTGCCTCAGCCTCCCAAGTAGCTGGGACTATAGGCATGCACCACCACACCCAGCTAATTTTTGTACTTTTAGTAGAGACGGGGTTTTGCCACATTGGCCAGGCTGGTCTCGAACTCCTGACCTCAAGTGATCTTCCCTCCTCATCCTCCCAAAGTGTTGGAATTACAGGCATCAGCTACTGCGCCCAGCCCCTTCTCAAATTTTGGCTAGATGTGTGTCAGACTTTCTCATCCTACCCCTCATGTCTCTAAACCACTCTTCCAGTTTTTTCCACCTATTTGTCTTTGCTGTATTCTGGATAATTTTTATCAGCTCTAGCCTTCTGTTTGCCTCATCTCCAGTTGGGTCTAATGTGTTATTAAACTTCTCCGTAAAGTTTTCAATTTCATTTAGTACAGTTTTCTTTTCTTCTTTTTTTTTTTTTTTTTTTTTTTTTTTTTTTTTTTTTTTTTTGAGACGGAGTTTTGTTCTTGTTGCCCAGGCTGGAGTGCAATGGCGCGATCTCCACTCACTGCAGCCTCCACCTCCCAGGTTCAAGCGATTCTCCTGTCTCAGCCTCCCACGTAGCTGGGACTACAGGTGTGCACCACCACGCCCAGCTAATTTTATATGTTTAGTAGAGATGGGGTTTCACCATGTTGGCCAGGCTGGTTTCAAACTCCTCACCTTAGTTGATTCATCTGCCTCGGCCTCTCAAATTGCTAGGATTACAGGCATGAGCCACCACACCTAGCCCAATTACAGTTTTCATTTCTTGAAGTTCTATTTTTTTTTTTTCAAATCTGCTTGTTTTTTGCTGGGGGAGGTTGTTGTTTGAGACAGGGTCTCACTCTGTCACCCAGGCTGGAGTGCAGTGGTGCGATCATGGCTTACTGCAGCCTCAACCTCCCAAGCTCAGGTGATCCTCCCACCTCAGCCTCCCAAGTAGCTGGGACAACAGGTGTGCACCACCACACCCAGCTAATTTTTGTAGACGCAGGGTTTTGCCATGTTGCCCAGGGTGGTTTTGAACTCCTGGACTTAAGCAATCTGCCCACCTCAGCTTCCCAAAGCACTGGGATTACGGGCAGGAGGAGCTACTGTGTCCAGCCCTGCTTCTCCTCCTTTACAATTTGTTATGCTCTGCATATATTTTGAAACAGTGTCTTATTTCTTTTTTTTTTTTTTTTTGAGACAGAGTCTTGCTCTGTCGCCCAGGCTGGAGTGCAGTGGCGCGATCTCGGCTCACTGTGAGCTCTGCCTCCCAGGTTCATGCCATTCTCCTGCCTCAACCTCCCGAGTAGCCGGAACCACAGGCGCCCGCCACAACAACCAGCTAATTTTTTGTAGTTTTAGTAGAGACGGGGTTTCACCATGTTAGCCAGGATGGTCTCGATCTCCTGACCTCGTGATCCGCCTGCCTTGGCCTCCCAGAGTGCTGGGATTACAGGCGTGAGCCACCGCGCCCGGCCTATCTAAGGTCTTTAGAGATTTGTTTCTGTCCCCCGTCACTTTTGGTGCATTTTGCCCATGCCGTGTAGTTTTCTTTATGTTCGGTTATTTTCTACTCTAAGCTGCTCATCTTCCTTGGAATTTTATCTGTGGGGAATTCTTTGAAGTCTGTAATGAAGGCAGGTTCCTCTAGAGAGAATTGGCATTTGCTTCCATTGAGATCTCTCGAAATTAAATTCTCAGCTAAAGGTTTTGTGAATTTAGGGCAGATTTTTCTCCCCCGATCACAGTAGTGATTTGAGGCTGCAGAATTCTTCATAATCCCTTGGGAGGACTTCCTCAGTGCAGGAGTCCAATCGTTTGTTATTTTATTATTTACCTTTACTTCCCCTGTACCAAGGAGGCAGTCTTGTGTGTGTGTGTTGGTGGTGGTGGTGATGTTTTGAGACAGTTTCTTGCTCTGTCATCAAGGCTGGAGGTACAGTGACATGACCACAGCTCACTGCAGCCTCAACTTCCTGGGCTCAAGCGATCCTCCCACTTCAGTCTCCTGAATAGCTGGGACCACAGGTGCACACCACCACGCCCGGCTAATTTTTTAATTTTTTGTAGACATGGGGTTTCGCCATGTTAGCCAGGCTGGTCTCAAACTCCTGAGCTCAAGCAATCCTCCCTCCTCGGCCTCCCAAAGTGCTGGGATTACAGGCATGAGCCTCCATGCCTGGCTGACAGATTCCACTTCAGGACCCCATCCCATGTGTAATAGTGTAGATGCTATTCGTCTATTGAATCCATCTGGAAGAGATATTCCCTCCACTGTTCTTAGATAGAGACACGGAAAAAAAGAGCCCACAGGCAGACTATGATTTTGCCAAAGGTGGGAGACTCATCTTCTTTATTTTGAGGTGGAGTCTCACTCTGTCATCCAGGCTGGAGTGCAGTGACACAATCTTGGCTCACTTCAACCTCTGCCTCCCAGGTTCAAGTGGTTCTTCTGCCTCAGCCTCCCAAGTAGCTGAGACTACAGGCGTGCGCCATCACACCCAGCTAATTTTTGTATTTTTTGTAGAGACAGGGTTTACCATGTTGGCCAGCCTGGTCTTGAGCTCCTGACCTCAAGTGATCCGCCCACCTCGGTCTCCCAAAGTGCTGGGATTACAGGCATGAGCCACTGCGCCTGGACGGACTCAACATTCTTAAGTAGGCAGCTTTGTCCAAAATTTATCAAAGGAAGTCCTTATGTTTGTACAAAGGATTGTGCTTTAAGGAATGTTCATTGAAATGGTTTATGATAGCAAACATTTCAGCCGTTTGAATTGGCTTCAGCTCATTTGAATTTATTGAGTCAGTTCAATAAATTACAATAATACTGGTCGGTTACTAAAAATAATGAAAGAAAGTTTAAGAAGTTGAATAAAATTGCAGCATATTGAGCAAGAAAAATAGATTGATTCTATTTACATTTAAGAATAAAGGTAGATGGCTGGGTGCGGTGGCTCACGCCTGTAATCCCAGCATTTTGGGAGGCGGAGGTGGGCGGATCACCTGAGGTCAGAAGTTCAGGACTAGTCTCTAGTAAAAACGACAAAAATTAGCTAAGCATGGTGCTCACACCTGTAGCGTAATCCCAGCCTTTTGGGAGGCCCAGGCAGGTGGATCACTCGAGGCCAGGAGTTTGAGACCAGCCTGGGCAACATGGTGAAACCATATCTCTACTAAAAATACAAAAATTGACCAGGCATGGTGGCGCATGCCTGTAATCCCAGCTACTCAGGAGACTGAGGCAGGAGAATCACTTGAACCCAGGAGGCAGAGGCTGCAGTGAGCAGAGATCGTGCCACTGTACTCCAGCCTGGGCAACAGAGCTAGACCCCATCTCTAAATAAATAACATAAAGGGGAGAAAAAAAAAAGAAGAAGGTAGATTCTTTACCAGAGAATTTCTGGCCTCAGATCTCTCGACCGTCATGTTCTTGTTGTTGACTCTGCTTCCCCTCCTCTTCCTGAAAGGGCCACCTGAGCGAGGGGTATGGCCAGCTGTGCAGCATCTACCTGAAACTGCTGAGAACCAAGATGGAGTACCACACCAAAGTGAGTCTCTGCGGACAGTTCTGCCGCCACCACCGCCTCCCTTGCTCTATCCCCTCAGCCCCTCCCTGGGCTCAGTTGTCAGCTCTTTCAGGTAATAGACAGCCCAGGCTTCTGAGGAAGTGTGTGCATCATGTACCCCAGCTGTGGGAGAGGAAAGCCATTGCCAGGCCCACGGGACGTGATGAGGGCTGGGATTTTGGCCCATGTCTTCTGCACCCTTTGTGCCCCATTTTGCAACTAGAAAGAACAACTGGCCAGGCACGGTGGCTCACGCCTATAATCCTAGCTGTTTGGGAGACCCAGGCGGACAGATCACCTGAGGTCAGGGGTTCAAGACTGGCCTGGCCAACATGGTGAAACCCCGTCTCTACTAAAAGTACAAAAATTACCCGTGGTGGTGATGCGTGCCTGTAATCCCAGCTACTCGGGAGGCTGAGGCAGGAGAATTGCTTGAACCCAAGACCAGGAGGCGGAGATTGCAGTGAGCCAAAACCATACCACTGTACTCCAGCTTGGGCGACAGAGTGAGACACTGTCTCAAAAAAACAAAAAAGAAAGGGTAACCCTAGCCACTAGATTGCCTTATGAAAATGTTACAGAAGCATTGATTTTACTGGGTTTTTTTTGTTTTTTTTTTTTTGAGACGGAGTCTTGCTCTGTCGCCCAGGCTGGAGTGCAGTGGCCGGATCTCAGCTCACTGCAAGCTCCGCCCCCCAGGTTTACACCATTTTCTCCTGCCTCAGCCTCCTGAGTAGCTGGGACTACAAGCACCCTCCACCACGCCCGGCTAGTTTTTTGTATTTTTTTTAGTAGAGACGGGGTTTCCCTGTGTTAGCCAGGATGGTCTCGATCTCGTGACCTCATGATCCACCCGTCTCGGCCTCCCAAAGTGCTGGGATTACAGGCTTGAGCCACCACGCCCAGCTGATTTTACTGTTAATAAAAACAATTCCTGGCCAGGCACGGTGGCTCATGCCTGTGATCTGAGCATTTTGGGAGGTCGAGACTGGAGGATCACTTAAGACCAGGAGTTTGAGACCAGCCTGGGCAACATAGCAAGACCCTGTCTCTAAAAAAAATTACAATTAGCCAGAGGTGGTGACACATGCCCGTAGTCCCAGCTACTCAGGAGGCTGAGGCAAGAGGATCACTTGAGTTCTGGAGCTGAAGGCTGCTGTAAGCTGTGATCATGCCACTGTACTCCAGCCTGAGTGACAGAGCAAACCTACTCCTGCAATTTCTTTTTTTCTTTTTCTTTCTTTTTTTTTTTTGAGACAGAGTTTTGCTCTTGTTGCCCAGGCTGAAGTGCAATGGCACGATCTCAGCTCACCAAAACCTCCACCTCCTGGGTTCAAGTGATTCTCCTGCCTTAGTCTCCTGAGTAGCTGGGTACTACAGGGATACACTACCATGCCTGGCTAATTTTGTATTTTTTTTTTTTCAGTAGAGATGGGATTTTGTCAGGTTGGTCTCGAACTCCTGACCTCAGGTGATCCACCCGCCTTGGCCTCTCAAAGTGCTGGGATTACAGGCGTGAGCCATGGCACCCAGCAATTCCTACAATTTCTATAGCAAGCTTCCCTACAGACCCGTCTTTTAATTTTTTTATTTTATTTTTATTTTATTTTATTTTTTTGAGATGGAGTCTCACTCTGTCACTTAGGCTGGAGTGCAGTGTGGCACGATCTCACCTCGCTGCCACCTCTACCTCCTGGGTTCAGGCAATTCTCATGTCTCAGCCTCCCAAGTAGCTGGGACTACAGGCAGGAGCCACCGCGCCTGGCTAATTTTTTGTATTTTTAGTAGAGACGGGATTTCACCATGTTGGCCAGGCTGGAGGTGGATCACCTTAGCTCACTGCAGCCTCAAATTCCTGGGCTCAAGAGATCCTCCTGCCCCAGTCTCCCGAGTTACTGGGACCACAGATACTCGCCACTATGCCTGGCTTAGATCCACTCTGGTGTGAGGCTGGGCAGGGTGGAAAACAGCATCTCAGTCACAGAGGCCTCAGCACCCACCTGAGCCGCACCTTGGACCCAATGGGGATCAGGCTGTAAAGCAATGACATGGGCCACTCTGCATTTTAAGTCCACTTTTCCAAAGTGGACTTAAAAGATCCAGGTGGCCAGTGAGGACAATGATGAGAGCCTGAATTAGGAGTTGTCCATGGGACAGTCAAAGAAGCAGGGACTGCCTGAAGATTGGCAGGAAATGAGGCTGGGTGGGGTTGCTCGGGCCTATAAACTCAGCATTTTGGGAGGCCAAGCAGGGCGGATTCCTTAAGCCCAGGAGTTCGAGCCTGGGCAACATAGGGAGACCCTGTCTCTACAAAAAATTTAAAAATTAGCCGGGTGTGGTAGCATGCAACTGTAGTCCCAGCTACTCGGGAGGCTGAGGTGGGAGGATGCTTTGAGCCTGGGAGGTCAAGGATGCTTTGAGCCTGGGAGGTCAAGGATGCAGTGAGCTATGATCACATCACTGCCCTCCCACCTGGGCAACAGAGTGAGGCCCTGTCTCCCAGAAAAAAGAGAGAAGAAGGTGACGTGATGGATACTGTGAGGTGGGGGAGGGGAACAGCTGAGGGGTGTGCAGGGGTCTGGCAACTGTGGGAGACAACAGGGGGTCAGGCAGAGGGGTGGGCACATAGGAGGCAACATAAACCAGAACTGAGGCTGGGCCAGGCCAGGGTGTCAGAGGCCGAGGCGGGGAGTCGGGCTGCCCTCGGGCTGGATTGCAAGGCAAAGAAGCAGGAGGGAGAGGCTCAGGGTGTGGAGAGGGGACTTATAGCGTGTGATTGGAGGGAGGACCAGGCTCCGGTAAAGGTGTCATGAGGAGGTGGGGAAAGGTGAGAATTGGATTTAAGATCTTCTGGGGCTGGGCACAGTGGCTCACGCCTGTCATCCCAGCACTTTGGGTGGCTGAGGCGGGCAGATCGTCTGAGGTCAGGAGTTCAAGACCAGCCTGGCCAACGTGGCAAAACTCATCTCTACTAAAAATACAAAAAGAAATTAGCTCACGCCTGTACTCCCAGCTACTCAGGAGGCTGAGGCAGGAGAATCACTTGAAACTGGGAGGCGGAGGTTGCAGTGGGCCGAGATGCCGTCACTGCACTCCAGCCTGGGCAACAGAGCAAGACTCCATCTCAAAAAAAAAAAAAAAAGATGGGAGTAGAGGTTTTGAAAGTGTTAAATTGAACTGGTGGGTGTGGTGGCTAACACCTCTAATCCCAACACCATGGGAGGCCGAGGCAGGAGGATCACTTGAGGCCAGGAGTTGGAGACCAGCCTGACCGACATAGTGAAACCCCCATCTCTACTAAAAACACAAAAGTTAACTGGGTGTGGTGGCACGCACCTGTAATCCCAGCTACTCAGGAGGCTGAGGCTTGAGAATGGCTTGAACCTAGGAGGCGGAGGTTGCAGTGAGCCGAGATGCTGCCTCTGCACTCCAGCCTGGGCGACAGAGCAAGACTCCATCTCAAAAAAAAAACAAAAAAAAAAAGATGGGAGTAGAGGTTGAAAGTGTTAAATTGAACTGGTGGGTGTGGTGGCTCACGTCTCTAATCCCAAAACCATGGGAGGCCGAGGCAGGAGGATCACTTGAGGCCAGGAGTTGGAGACCAGCCTGACCAACATAGTGAAACCCCCATCTCTACTAAAAACACAGAAGTTAGCTGGGCGTGGTGGCATGCACCTGTAATCCCAGCTACTCAGGAGGCTGAGGCTTGGGAATGGCTTGAATCCGGAAGGCAGAGGTTACACTCCAACCTGGGTGACACAGCAAGACTCTCTCTCAAAAAAAAAAAAAAAAAATACAGTGTTAAATGGGAAATGGGAGGAGGAAGGGCCTAGGGTAGGATTTTAGGTGAAAAAGGAGAGAAGGGAGGGTGTGGAGAAAGCAAGACTGGGAAGATGGTTAGGGAGGAAGGGGACTGGGATGGGAGCTGGGGCAGTGGCGCTGCAGGGGTGATAGAGGCCAAGGGAGTCCCTTTCCATTGTGTATAGAAAGAGAGCAGAGTTCAGCGGCATCAGAAGCAGCCGGTGCCGATGGCCAGGCCCCTAGCTTTTAATAGCATGGAAGGGCAGAAGGGAATGGTCACGTGGGCTTGGAGAATTGGGGTCGAATGAGGATGCAGCTGGCTTTGCTTCCAAAGGCTCTCGAGCTCACTGCTGTCTTGTTTTTCCTGGTTTTAGAAAGCAGGGAAAGTGGGGAAGCTGGTATTGTCCAAGTGTGGAGGAGCAAAGGACTTTTCCAGTTTTTAGCAATTAGCAATACAAGAGTGGGGAAGGAGGCTGGGCAGAGTGGCTCATACCTGCGGTTCCAGCATTTGGGGAGGCCAAGGGTTGAGGTGAGACCAGCCTGGGCCACACAGTGAGACCCTGTCTCTTAAAAAAAAATTTTTTTTGGCCGGGCGCGGTGGCTCACGCTTGTAATCCCAGACCTTTGGGAGGCCGAGATGGGTGGATCACCTGAGGTCAGGAGTTCAAGACCAGCCTGGGCAACATGGTGAAACCCCATCTCCGCTAAAAATATAAAAAAATTAGCCGGGCATGGTGGTGCATGCCTGCTAATCCCAGCTACTCAGGAGGCTGAGACAGGAGAATCGCTTGAACCCAAGGGGCTGAGGTTGCAGTGAGCTGATATCATGCCATTGCACTCCAGCCTGGGCGACAGAGTGAGACTCCATCTTGAAAACAACAACAGCAAAAATATCCCGCACACATTAAAGAAAAATTCATTCTCTGGCTGGGTGCAGTGGCTCATGCCTGTAATCCCAGCACTTTGGGAGGCTAAGGCAGGCGGATCACCTGAGGTCAGGAATTCAAGACCAGCCTGGTCAATGTGGTGAAACCCCATTGCTACTAAAAATACAAAAAAATTAGCTGGGCGTGGTAGCGCATGCCTGTAGTCCCAGCTACTCAGGAGGCTGAGATGGAGGATCGCTTGAGCCCAGGAATTGGAGGCTGCAGTGAGCGATGATCATGCCACTGCACTTCATCGTGGGTAACAGTGAGGTCATGTCTCTAAAAAATAAAAAAAGAGAAACAGGAGAGAGCCTGATTCCCCCTCCTCTGCCATGTAAGCAGTGTAACCAAGATGAGGCCCCTCACCAGAGACTGAATCTGTCAACACCTTGACTTTGGACTCCCCGGCCTCCAGAACTGCGAGACACTGTCTATGGGTTAAGCCACCCAGCATGTGGTATCTTGTTATAGCTGCCCAAGCTGACTGAGACGGACGTTCAGGCCAGAGAGCGTGCATGCATAGTGACACCAGCTGTGAGTCTTTCTCCAGGGACAGTTAGCAGCTGGCCCTAGGTGCAGAGCCGATGACAAGGACCCAGGCTCTCAGCAGGTCTTCGAAGCAGTGTGGTGGAAAGGCAGGCAGGGCATGGGAAAGTGGAGCCAGGCCACCAGTCATGATGTTGAGACTGAGCCAGGAGGCAAAGGCAGGCAGAGAAATGGAGAGGAGAGGGAGCAGGAAGGGACTGGCCATCTCTGAGACTTAAGTATGAGTAGTGGGTGGACTTGAGGGCAGGAGAGCACTGGAAGGGCAGAGGCCTGAGTGATGCAGCCAGAGAGGGAGATGCTATAGTGGAGAGTTCTAGGCAGGGATGTTTTAGGTGATGGTGGAGTCTGGAGTGGGTGTGCGTAGCTGGGGATGGCGTAGAGGTGAAGGTGCTGAAACTGAGGTCAAAGGTTGTAATCTCAGGGTGCATGACTTGGGGCAAAGGAAAACTGTGTCCCAGGTGCCAGGTCAAGCCTCAGAGGCCTTGGCACCATGGAGCCCAGGAGCGAAGTCTGCAATAGGGATTTTTTTTTTCTTTTTTTTTTGCGGGGGGAGACAGAGTCTCACTCTGTTGCCCAGGCTGGAGTGTGGTGGTTCCATCTCAGTTCACTGCAACCTCCACCTCCCAGGTTCAAGCGATTCTCCTGCCTCAGCCTCCCAAGGAGCTGGGACTACAGGCATGTGCCACCACCCCCGGCTAATTTTTTTATTTTTAGTTGAGACAGGGTTTCACCATGTTGGCCAGCCTGGTCTCTAACTCCTGACCTCAAGTGATCCACCTGCCTTGGCCTCCAAAGTGCTGGGATTATAGGTGTGAGCCACCGCGCCCAGCCTAGAGCCTAAAGTATCCACTTGTACATGCAGATGCCCAATGATGGAATGACCACCCATCTCTGCGGCCTTTTCCCTTTGCCACAGGGACAAACCACACAGATGACAGGATCATGCTATGGATACTGAGCAATGATTGATGATACCAGCTGGTGTTTCTTTTTTTTTCTTTTTTGTTTGTTTTGAGGTAGGGTCTCACTCTGTAACCAGGCTGGAGTGCAGTGGCCTTGAACTGTAGCCTTGAACTACTGGGCTCAAGCGATCTTCCCGCCTCGGCCTCCCAAGTAGCTGGGACCACAGGCGTGTGCCACCATGCCCGGCTGAGAGAGAGCTCTTCATGTCTCCTGTCCTGACTCCCTTCCTCTGCCTTCCTTCCAGAATCCCAGGTTCCCAGGCAACCTGCAGATGAGTGACCGCCAGCTGGATGAGGCTGGAGAAAGTGACGTGAACAACTTGTAAGTGGCTCCTGCCCTGAGCCCAGGGAGGGAGAAAGCTTTTGTGAATGCCGACACTTCTCATAAGGGACATGGAGGGCCTGATTGGGTGGGGGGCGCGTGGCTGGGGTGGGGACCAAAGCCCCTGGGTGACTTGGCCTTGGGGCCACTTATTTATTGGTGATGCCTCATCCAGAACCCCTGCCTGGCTATTTCACAGCCCAGAGCTTTCGTGTCTGTCTCGCTTTCTGCCCTCCGACTCCAACACTGGTAACTATCCTCTCCCTCTGTCACTGTCACTGTTTTCATTTTTGTTTTTTTGAGAAGCAGTCTCACCCTGTTACCCAGGTTGGAGTGCTGTGGCTCAATCTCGACTTACTGCAGCCTCCACCCCCCAGGTTCAAGTGATTCTCCTGCCTCAGCCTCCCGAGTAGCTGGGATTACAGGCAAGCGCCATCACACCCGGCTAATTTTTGTATTTTTAGTAGAGATGGGGTTCCGCCGTGTTGGCCAGGCTGGTCTTGAACTCCGGACCTCAGGTGATCCGCCCACCTCGGCCTCCCAAAGTGCTGGGATGACAGGCGTGAGCCACCACCCCTGACCTGTCACTGTCACTGTTGACTCTCCACCAGGCTGCATGGCCATAATACCCATGAGGCTAAGACTTGGAGCTGGAGTTGTGTGTGTGTTTGCGCACGCACGTGAGCATTGGAGACTGGAGGCAGTAGTGTAGAGCACGGGGGAGGGGACAGGTAACAGACCGGCCTCAGGCTGTGGAGTGTAAGCTCTCTTTCCTCTTGGGTCCAGTTTCCAGTTAACAGTGGAGATGTTTGACTACCTGGAGTGTGAACTCAACCTCTTCCAAACGGGTGAGTCTCTTCCCTCCTGTCTAAACCAGGCTCTCATGGGAACTACCTAATTCCCAGTCCTCCTCTCCCTGCAAAGTGTGTGGCACAAGGGGCAGGAAAATGGAGACACTCACACCCCATCTCTGGTCTCTCCATCCCTCGTGCAGGGAGGGACTGAACCTCTTCAGTATTTTTCTTTTTAAGAGACAAGGTCTCAGCTGGGCACAGTGGCTCACACCTGTAATCCCAGCACTTTGGGAGGCTAAGGTGGGCCCATCACTTGAGGCCAAAAGTTAAAGACCAGTCTGGCCAACATGGTGAAACCCTGTCTCTAATAAAAATATAAAAATTAGCCAGGCATGGTGGCTTATGCCTGTAATCCCAGTTACTTGGGAGGCTGAGGCAGGAAAATTGCTTGAACCCAGGAGGTAGAGGTTGCAATGATCCAAGATCATGCCACTGCACTCCAGCCTGGGTGACACAGCAAGACTTCATCTCAAAAAAAAAAAAAGAAAGAGAAGATCTCACTGTGTCACCCAGGCTGGATTGCAGTGGCATGTTACAGCTCACTGCAACCTCAAACTACTAGGCTCAAGTGATCCTCCCACCTCAGCCTCCCAAGTAGCTGGGACTACAGGCACTCACCACCACATCTGGCTGATTTTTTTGTATTTTTTGCAGAGATGGGGGTCTTGCTGTGTTGCCCAGGCTGGTCTTGAACTACCAGCCTCAAGGTGTCTTCCCAACTCAGCCTCCCAAAGTTCTGGGATTACAGGCGTGAACTACCACACCTGGCCTCCTAGATATTTTCAAAGCGGGTGGTTTCACATCTGAGCAGAAAGACCACGCACTGCTCCTTCCTACTGGCCTCCCTCCTGAAGCACAGACCTCCAAAAGCCCAGAGACAGGTCTTACCTCTTTGGCAGCCACTGGACTGTGGCCATGGCCCTGGCCAGTCCTTGGTCCAGTCCTGTCTGCTCCTTGGAGCTGGGCTGGCTCGTGGGCACGATTTCTGCTGAGGAGGAAGGGCTCGTGTCTGTTGTTGAGTTGGCAGCCATGGGAACAAGCTGGTCAGGATTGGTTATCACCCAGGACTGGTTGTCACCCAAATCCACCTGAGAAGCTCACAGAGTCCTGTTCCACTAGCAGGGGGAGTGGCCACACTTCCAGGCTCCCGTCTGCCAAGAACTGTGGTGCCTCCAGACCATCAGCCCCCAACGCTTCCCTGACAAGCCTCAGCTGGTCCCCTTCTCTCCAGCGCCTCTCCTCCCCACACCTCCCAGCAGGCTCCCCTCCCTTCCCTGGGGGACATAAGCACCAGCGTTCTGAGACTCAGGGCATTCCAAGACAAGCATCCAACTCTGAAAGACGACGTTGCACATTGCAGGTCTCCATACGCAAGCTTGGTGGTCTCATGCCCAAGCCTGGTGGCCTTCTCTGCATGTGGACATGCAGGACCCACTCTTGGGGCTTGGACTCTCTGACCCCGAATTTCCTTCAGCTTCCTTCGGCGTGTTCATCTGTGTAGAAATGCCTGCTACTGGCCTCTTTTCCAGAATATTCTGTTTTGTGTTGTACTACGGCTGGGACAGGGCAACAAATTCCATAATACATTGACCAGTCTTCAGCACAGGATGTGGTCAGAAAAACACCAGAAACAGGCCAGGCACAGGGGTCATGCCTGTAATCCCAGCACTTTGGGAGGCCGAGGCGGGTGGATCACCTGAGGTCAGGAGTTCAAGACCAGCCTGGGCAACATGGTGATAACCCCCATCTCTACTAAAAATACAAAATTATCCAGGCATGGGTGACGACGCGCCTGTAATCCCAACTCACTCAGGAGGCTTTGAGCCAGGAAAGACTTGAACCCAGGAGGCGGAGGATTGCAGTTGAGCCCGGAGATCACAACAACGCCACTCCAGTCTGAGAGTTACAGAGGAAAGATTCCCTGTCATCAAAAAAAAGAAAGACAGACACCTAGATACGGTTGGAAACTGGGTCTTGTGTGAGGAAAGGGACTTCAGCTGACTAGTGAGACTATTTGAAGCATCGGGTTATACAAAAGTCAGTAGAGGAAAATAAAAATAAAACTACAATAATCTAGTCTATGCTAGGCTATTCAACAGTCAGATTGAAGGCAGGTGGAGAGTGGATGCATCTTGTTTTTAAAAAAATGCATTGGGAGCCAGGCGTGGTGACTCATGCCTGTAATTTCACCACGTTGGGAGAGGCCAAGGCAGGCAGATCATGCAGGTACGGAGTTCAGAGCACCAGCCTGCGCCAAGCATGGTGGAAACCCCTGGTCTCTTGTAAAAATACAAAAATTAGTTCAGGTGTGAATGTGGTGTGTGCCTGTAATCCCAGCCTACTCAGGTGCTGAGGCAGCGAAGATTGCTTGACCTGGGAGGCAGAGGTTCGAGTGATGAGATCGCAGCCATTGCACTGCAGCCATGGGCAATAGAGCAAGACTCCACTTGAAAAAAAATGCCATTGCAAATGTTGCATAAAAGTTATGAAACAAGTATACATTGTTGTGGGCTAACTTTCAATCCCTTTGGAATTTGGGTGGGAACACACGTATGTGGATATTCAGACTCATTTGCATTTACTTTCACTTTTTTTTGCTTGTTTCTTTTTGAGATTATCTGGCTGTGTCACCAACCTGGAATGCAGTGGTGCAGTCTTGGCTCACTGCTTCTGGGGCTCAAGCCATCCTCCTGTCTGCAGCCTCCCAAGTAGTCTGGGACTGCGCGCGCATGCCACCCCATCCCAGCTAATTTTGTGTACTTATTTTGTGAGAACGAAGGCTGTCCATATATTGCCCAGGGCTGGTCCTCAACTCCTGAGCTCAAGCGATCTGCCTGCCCTTACCCTCCCAAAGTGCTGGAATTACAGGCATTGAGCCACCACACCCAGACCTGCATTGTAGCTTTGTGAATGTGCTAATCTGAGAATGGAAGGCGAATGTAGTGAGATTCTCTGGAATTCGTCATCCCTGGGAAAATGCAGCCCTAGAAGCTTGCAGTTCAGGCTGACCAAGCGCTCTCTCGCCCATGCGCCCTCGCCTCTTCTTGGAGCCAGTGCCTGCCTGTCCTCCGCTGTGTGGGTTTTTTTTTTTTTTTTTTTTTGTTGAGAGGAGGATCCCACTCCTGTCTCCCAGGCTGGAGTGCCAGTGGTGTGATCTCGAGCTCCACTGCAAGCGTGCCACCTGGGAGTTCACCACCATTCTCCTCCCCCAGCCTCCCAAGTAAGCTGGACTACACGGCGCCCACCACCTCGCCCAGTGTTTTTTTGTATGCTGCTGTGGTTTTTAGGGATGAGCAAGACAAATGTTTCAGCCTTTGGGCCATCCTTCCAGTTCCTGACAGACAGTGGACCAGGAGTGAACGGAGATGGTGATGAGGTCCAAAAGGACTTGATTAGCTGAGAGAATGAGTAAGGGGTAGAGGTGGTGAGCTCAGCCATCTTTTTTTGTGCCATCTCGTGACCCCTAGCTCTGGTTTTCTGTGTTTTTTGTGTGTTTGATTGTTTTGTTTTGAGATAGAGTCTCGCTCTGTTGCCCAGGCTGGAGTGCGATGCCACCATCTCAGCTCACTGCAACCTCTGCCTCCCAGGTTCAAGTGATTCTCCTGCCTCAGCCTCCTGAGTAGCTGGGATTACAGGCATGCGTCATCACGCCTGGCTAATTTTTGTATTTTTAGTAGAGACAGGGTTTCACCATGTTGGCCAGGCTAGTCTCGAACTCCTGGCCTCAAGTGATCTGCCTGCCTTGGCCTCCCAAGGTGCTTGGATTATAGGCATGAGCCACCGTGCCCAGCCTGCTCTGGTTTTATATGCATTGTTCATTAATATTGTCACCACGAGATGCTGAGCTCTTCCCTAAAATCAGGAACCATGTCCTACTCATCTTTAAATTCTCTCTGTTCTAGCCCAGTGCCTGGTGAATAGCAGGTGCTCAACAATAAAAGAATGCTTGCTTTTTGAAAAACTGCAGGCTGCCAGGTGCAGTGGCTCACGCCTATAAACCCAGCACTTTAGAAGACCGAGATGGGAAGATTGCTTGAATCCAGGAATTAAATTTGGGCAGCTCTGGTCCAGAAGACTCTAAGTAATTCATCCTAGAGATTCCCAGAGCCTGCAGCTGGAAGTTAAAACTATGTAATGAATTCTGTTCACCTATTTCATCACTGCTGTTTTTCTTTACTCTCTCTCTCTTGTTTTCTTTTGTTTTGTTTCGTTTCGTTTTTTTGGAGATGGGATCTCACTCTGTCGCCGAGGCTGGAGTACTGTGGCACAATCATAGCTCACTGCAGCCTTGACCTCCCTGGGCTCAAGGGATCCTCCCACCTCAGCCCCCAGAGTAGCTGGGACCATGAGTGTGTGCCATCACACCTGGCTAATTTTTAATTTTTTGTAGAGATGGGGTCTTGCTATATAACCAGGCTGGACTTGAACTCCTGAGCTCAAGTGATTCTTTCACCTCAGCCTCCCAAAGTGCTGGGATTATAGGCATGAGCCACCAGGCCCAGTCTCCTGTGCTTTAAGAAGCACCCCCAGTGTGCACTGTCCAATAGAGCATTCACTAGCCTCATGTGATCATTGAACTTGATTACAATTAAATAACATTTAAAAGTCAGGTCCTCAGCTGCACTAGTCCTATTTCAGGCATGTTTCAGGAAGCCACATATGGCTAGCATATTAGAAAGTTTATATGAACATTTTCATCATTATAGAATTCTATTGGATGGCACTGTTGTGGGTGATTCTGATGCGTGCTAAAACATGACAACCTCTGAGCTTGGACATATAGTTTCCAACCTTGGATGGCAGAATTAGGAATCTATATGGGGCCTTTTTTTTTCTCTTTCTTGAAACAGAACCTTGCTCTGTCCCTCAGGCTGGGAGTGCAGTGCACAGTCTCAGCTCACTGCAACCTCTGCTCCTGGTTCAAGCAATTCATTGTGCCTCAGCCTGAGTAGGCTGCGGCACTACAGGTGCCCACCACCACCCCGGCCAATTTTGCATTTTAGTAGAGAGGGAGGTTTCGCCATGTTGGGCCAGGCTGGCTTGAACTCTTACGCTCGAGCAGTCCTCCTGCCTCAGCCTCCCAAGTGCTGGATTACAGGCATGAGCCACGGCACCTGGCCTAATGGGGACGGCAGGGGGAAGCTTTTGGAGAGACACTGACAATCCCAACATACGCAGACCAGTTGAACAGATGGTGGGGGCGGTTCTGGGGATTTGCAGAGAAGACTTGAGTTTTCAGTTTCCCCCAGGTGGATCGTAACCAATCTGAAAGCTAAAGTCAGACCACTTTGCACAATCCATGTACTTTTCACCAACATTTCATTGAAGTCCTCCAAGACCTCAAGAGGTATTGGCACTGTTAGGCCACGTGTGCTCAACAGAAAGGCGCAGGGAGGGCACAGAGTACTCTGTACCTTGATCCACCAGTGATTGCTGCCTAGATGTTCCTGGGTGCCAAAGGGCATTCCTGGGAAGTCCATCGGGATCGAGGGCAGGCAGGGAGATGGAAACCGTGGTTCGCTGGGCAGGTTGAGGCCTGAGGAAGCGGTTAGATTGGGCATGGCTGCCCTTGCAGTGACATGCTGCTTTTAATTTGGTGTCAAGAAGGAAAGCTGTTCTTTTAATTAGAACGTTTTGGGATCTTTTTTTTTTTTTCAGCGCCAGACTACCAACCAGTGTCAGGATTTAGTGCACGGTTCAGGGAAGCAGAATACAGGGCAGCCTCGGGTTCCCTCTGGGCCAGTCACCTCACAGAGGGACCGGGGAGCTTTCACTGCCCACTGTCGTGCAGAGTCATGCGAGCGCAGTGGGTGGACAGTGCGGAAGAAGAGAATCAGCCTGGCCAGTGGTTGTGAGCTGGAGTGTCTGCAGGCCAGCAAGCGCAGTTGCTTGGCGACGATGGGGGCAGGGGGGTGGTGAGGGAGGGAGCCCAGCGTGAGAAATTGAGGGACTCAACTTGTCATCTGAAACTCAAGAGGATGGAGCAGGACTTTCTACTTTCTGTTGACAGGTGCCCCCCCCACAGTTTCAGCCTTGGAGTCTGAAATATCTTCTCTTCCCAAGTCCTTTTTTTCTTTTTCTTTTTTTTTTTTTTTGAGGCAGGAGTCCGCTCTGTCGGCCAGGCTGGAGTGCAGTGTTGCGATCTCGGGTCACTGCAGTTCCGCCTCATGGGTTCACACGGCCCTTTCTCTTGCCTCAGCCTCCTGAGTAACTGGGACTACAGGTGCCGCCACCACGCCGGCTTAATTTTTTTTGTTTTTTAGTAGAGACGGGGGTTTCACCGTGTTAGCCAGGATGGTCTCGATTCTCTGCCTCGTGATCGCCCATCTTGGCCTCCAAAGGCTGTGGATACCACCATCTGGCCTTTTCTTATTTTTCTTGTTGTTATTGTTTTGATTGGTTTGGTGTGGTTGGTTTGGTTCTTTTGAGTGGAGTGTTGCTCTGTCGGCCCAGGCTGGAATGCAGTCGCCACCTTTAGCTCACTGCAACCTCCGCCTCCCAGGCTCAAGTGATTCTCCTGCCTCAGCCTCCAAGTAGCTGGGTTTACAGGCACCCCACCACACCAGCTATTTTTGTATTTTAGTAGAGACAGGGTTTCGCCCATGTTGGCCAGGCTAGGCTCGAACTCCTGACCTCAGGTGATCCACCCACCTCAGCCTCCCCAAAGTGACTGGGATTACAGGCGTGAGCCACTGCGCCTGGCTTGTTTTGTTTTATTTATTTATGAAACAGTCTCACTCTGTCACCCAGGTTGGAGTGCAGTGGTGCGATCTTGGCTCACTGCAGCCTCCACCTCCTGGGTTCAAGTGATTCTCCTTCCTCAGCTTCCCAAGTAGCTGGGATTACAGGCGTGAGCCATCACACCCAGCTAATTTTTGTATTTTCAGTAAAGATGAGGTTTTGCCATGTTGTTCAGGCTGGTCTCAAACTCTTGGGCTCAGGCAGTCCCCCCACCTCAGCCTCCCAAGTGCTGGGATTGCAGGTGTGAGCCACTGCACCTGGCTGAGACCCAGTCTCGTAAAGAGGAAAAAAAGGAAGATGAGGCTCCCTCTCCATGTCCGCCATGGTAGAAGCTCTCCTAGGTGATGAGCAAATCTCTTCTTTCCTGGGCTATCAGGGTCTCTGCACAGACTAGCACTTAGTTCACCTGTTCATGATGCACTGGATATTCTGACTCTCAGGAGCAAAGGCACCTGGTCTAACCATCACTGGCCCCATTAGCTCTTGGGCTCTCCAACAAGTCTGTTAACTCACCACCTCTCAACAAAACCACTTTTTTTTTTTTTGTTGAAAAATTTCACTTTTTTTTTTTCACCAGAATTTTTTTTTTGAGATGATATCTTACTCTTGTCGCCCAGGCTGGATGCAAAGGTGCAATCTCGGCTCACTGCAACCTCCGCCTCTTGGGTTCAAGTGATTCTCCTGCCTCAGCCTCCCGAGTAGCTGGGATTACAGGCGTGGCCACCATTCCCAGCTAATTTTTGTATTTTTAATAGAGACAGGGTTTTCCCATGTTGGAAAGGCTAGTCTCGAACTCCTGACCTCAGGTGATCCACCCACCTAGGCCTCCTAAAGTGCTGGGATTACAGGCGTGAGCCACCGCACCCAGCCAAAACCATTTTTCTTTTTTTGAGATGGAGTTTTGCTCTGCTGCTGGAGTGCAATGGCACGATCTCGGCTCACTGCAACCTCCGCCTCTCGGGTTCACACGATTCTCCTGCCTCAGCCTCCCAAGTAGCTGGGATTACAGGTGTCCGCCACCACACCCAGCTAACAAAACCACTTCTTGACTTTGTGACAGCCTTCAAGTGACTTACCTTCTGCTTCTTTACCTGTCTAATGGGGATACGTTTACCTATCTCATGGGAGTGTCGTGAGGGTTAAATGAATTAGATGAGGTAAAGTGCGCACAGAATCGGTCCTTGGTGTGTGTTGGACCCCTGCCTCTGCCCCTCTGAAGAGGCTGCCTGTAATCCCCTGGCTCTATCACCTTTCTCCCTCACTTTTATTTCCTAGTGTTCAACTCCCTGGACATGTCCCGCTCTGTGTCTGTGACGGCAGCAGGGCAGTGCCGCCTCGCCCCGCTAATCCAGGTCATCTTGGACTGCAGCCACCTTTATGACTACACTGTCAAGCTTCTCTTCAAACTCCACTCCTGTGAGTACCGCGGGGCAGATCTTCTTACGTGAGATTCAGGCCAGAGGGAGGATCCCAGCCTGAGGATGTCCCTGGAGAAACACAGTCCTTCTCAGTGCCTTTGGCTGTCTGCTTCTGTTCCAAAAGGCCCCGGCGTTCCTGACTATTGTGAGGATAAAAGAGCAGGGCCCAGACTTTGGTGTCTCCAGTAAAGCCCCTGGCTTGCCGCTCTTGTGTCCCAGTGTTACAGGATCTTTGGGGTGTCAGTTTTCTGGCTGGAAACCTCTGGGGCCAGTGGCGCCTTTGCCTGAATTCTTGTTCTGCATCCAGGAAGAATGAGGTATGCAGAAAAGTGGAGGGTGGACAAGATGAAGAGGAGCTTTATTGAATATTGGAACAGCTCAGAGGAGATGCAGTGGGTACTGCTCTCTGTCTGTAGGCAGGTGGTTCTGTCAAGTGTTCAGCTCTCAGCAGAAAAGAGGCCATGGAATGGGTAGCTCCTCTCTGCAACTGGTCATCCTAGCGTCTCTGCAGGTCTCTGAAGCTCTCAGCAGAGAGGGTGGCTCCTCTCTGTAGCTGGTGGTCCCTTCTCTGCTCAGCTTGGCTGAGCTCAGGGCTTTTATGGGCCTCAGAGGGGAGGAAATGCACCCCCACTGGTCCATGGGCAGGCCCGGAAAACGCACCCCACGTTCCCACTCCAGTCTGTGGGATTGGCAGCCTGGCCCCCACCGGGTACCCACCTTTCCACCTAGGAATCTGTCTGCCTCCCGCTGCCATGCATGGCACCAGGTCTCAGCCCCAACTTTGCTCTAAGATGGCAGTGGGTGCTGACAGTAGGGAGAAGCCAGGCAGCAGGAGCAGGTTCAGAAGAGGGGAGGGAGAGCCTTCTCAGGCCCTGAAGAGTACAGGGATGCCTGAGTCTGCAGCCGGGGCTGGGAGCGGGGGCGGGGCAGCGGGGCTGCCACCCACTCCGTGGAGCGGGAAGCCCAAGTCTGCAGCTGCGTTTTGGGAGTCCGCAGCTGCGCCCAGGAAGGCAGGGTTCCTGCCTGTTCCTGGCCCCCCGAGAACACAGGGAAGCTCAGATCTGCAGTCACAACTTGGACGGCTCCAGCCCCACCCAGGAGGGTGAGGCTCCTGCCCTGTGCAGCCCTGGCCATGCCTCCCTGCTGCAGATGGCATGATGGCAGTAGCAGGCCACCTGGACTGGCAGCCGCCATCACCAGGATGGTCCTCTCTGTCTGCCTCTAGCTTGAGCACATCACCATTCATCAAGTATGTCGTGTATCCTACGAACCGCACAAATTATCAGCAGACCTGGCCTAGACCTGCATGAGCTAATGTAATGATTTCCAGACCATTCATCCACACAATCCCTTTGTGCAAATGGAATTTTATGGAGAAATGTAAATTATAAAACACAGCTGCTCATTAAATGGAAACCTATCCCTTACCTAGCTTCAGTTCCCCGGGGTGCCCTTAGCAGAATATATATAGCTTGGAGGTTCTGATCTTGCAGAAGTTTTTATACTTTTTTTTTGTTTGTTTCCTGAGACAGAGTCTCACTCTCTTGCTCAGGCTGGAGTGCAAGGGTACGATCTCTGCTCACTGCAACCTCTGCCTGCCGGGTTCAAGCAATCCTTGTGCCTTAGCCTCTGGAGTAGCCGGGACCACAGGCATGGGCTGGCACACCTTTGTTGTTGTTTTTTGAATTTTTAGTAGAGATGGAGTTTCCCCATGTTGGCCAGGCTGGTCTCGAACTCCTGGCCTCAAGTGATCCGCCCACCTCAGCCTCCTAAAGTGCTAGGATCACGGGTGTGACCCACCGCACCCAGCCAGTTCTTACAGTTTTGTGTCCTGGTTTAAAATGATGTGTCTGGGGCAGGCACAGTGGCTCACACCTGGAATCCCATTACTTTGGGAGGCTGATGGAGACCAGCCTGAGCAACATAGTGAAATCCCTGCCTCTGAAAAAAATACAAAAATTAGCCAGGCGTGGTGACATGCGCCTGTAGTCCCAGCTACCCGGGAGGCTAAGGTGGGAAGACCACTTGAGCCCCGGAGGTCAACGCTACAGTGAGCTGTGTTTGTGCCACTGCTCTCCAGCCTGGGCAACAGAACGAGACCGTGCCTTAAAAAAAAAAAAAAAAAATGTAGTATAAGACAGTATACTCTGTAACTGTGGTCATTGACAAGTAATGAATCTCATTATTTAGACAGTACAAGGGAAGGATGTAGCATCACCTAGATGCTAATCTGGGATGGTTTCGTGGAAGGGAGATTGGAATTAGCTGCCCAGGGATTAGAAAGGCTTTGCAGCAAGTAGGCCTGCCCGAAGGGAGAGGGTGGAGTGGGCCCCCGAGAGAAGGGACCAGCTGCTTAGAGTGCTGAATACAGATGAACTTTTCATTGTTTCCAAGTACACTGTTGCTCAGTAGAACATCACCAGTGCCTTTTTGTAAAATGGGGAGTTAAGCTGGGCATGGTGGTGCACACCTGTAGTCCCAGCTACTTGGGAGGCTTAGGGAGTTATAAGAAGAGACAGGTAATTAAGTGTTTGGGTTTAAAGGCTTTCTTTGAAGGCAGGGCAATACCCAAGACCCACACTGCCTCTGGGCTGAGAAAGGGGTGGGAGGGATACTCTTTACAGTATTTATTTATTTATTTATTTATTTATTTATTTACCCAGGCTGGAGTGCAGTGGCACAATCTCAGCCCACTGCAGCCTTCACCTCCCAGGTTCAAGTGATTCTCCTACCTCAGCCTCCCAAGTAACTGGGATTACAGGTGCCCACTACCATGCCCGGTTAATTTTTTTTTTTTTTTGAGACGGAGTCTCACTCTGTCGCCCAGGCTGGAGTGCAGTGGCCGGATCTCAGCTCACTGCAAGCTCCGCCTCCCAGGTTTACACCATTCTCCTGCCTCAGCCTCCCAAGTAACTGGAACTACAGGTGCCCGCCCTCGCCCGGCTAGTTTTTTGTATTTTTTTAGTAGAGACGGGGTTTCACTGTGTTCGCCAAGATGGTCTCGATCTCCTGACCTTGTGATCCACCCGTCTCAGCCTCCCAAAGTGCTGGGATTACAGGCGGCTAATTTTTATATTGTTTTTAGTAGAGACGGGGTTTCACTGTGTTTGCCAGGCTGCTCTTGAACTCCTGAGCTCAAGTGATCCTCCCGCCTGGGCCTCCCAAAGTGCTGGGATTACAAGCGTGAGCCACTGCAACCTCTTTTCTAAAAATAAACATTTATTTTTGTTTTAGATCCACAGAAAAGTTAAATAGTACCAGGAGTTCTCGTATACCCAGTTGCATTTTCCCTTTGTTCGTATATTAGTATGAAACATTTGTCACAACTAACGAACCAGTGTTGATACCTTATTATTAATTAAAGTTCGTACTTAAGGCTGGGTGCAGTGGCTCATGCCTGTAATCCCAACCCTTTGGGAGGTCAAGGCGGGCAGATCACAAGGTCAAGAGATTGAGACCATCCTGGACAACACGGTGAAACCCCGTCTCTGCTAAAAATACAAAAATTAGCCGGGCGTGGTGGCACGCGCCTGTAGTCCCAGCTACTTGGGAGCTGAGGCAGGAGAATTGCTTGAACCCGGGAGGCGGAGGTTGTGGTGAGCCGAGATTGCGCCACTGCCCTCCAGCCTGGCAACAGAGCGAGATTCCGAATTAAAAAAAAAAAAAAAAAGGTTTGTACTTTATTCAGATTGTCACAGTTTTTACCAAATGTCCTTTTCTGCCCCAGAATCTCATCCGGTACACCATGTGACATTTAGTTGTGATGTCTCCTTAGGTTCCTCTTGGCTATGACGTTTCACTTCTCAAACTTCCCTTATTTTTGATGATTTTGATCGTTTTGAGTTTTTTGTAGAATGTTCCTGAATTCTAGTTGCCTGATGTTTTTCTCCTGATTTCACTCGGGTTAAGGGTTCTTGGGAGAAAGATCATTTAGGTCAAGTGCCATATTCATTCACTGGCTTCTTTTGCCATTTTGTTTTTGTTTTGTTTTGTTTCAAGATGGAGTCTCACTCTGTCACCCAGGCTGGAGTGCAGTGGTGCAATCATAGCTCACTGCAGCCTCAAACTCCTGGGCTCAAAAGATCCCCCCACCTCAACCTCTTGAGTAGCTAGGACCAAAGTGCACATCACCACACCTGGCTAATTTTTATTTTTTAATTTTTGTAGAGATAGGGGTCTCGCTATGTTGCCCAGGCTGGTCTCAAATTCCTGGGTACAAGTGATGCTCCCCACTCAGCCTCCCAAAGTGCTGGGATTACACATGGGAGCCACTGTGCCCAGCCATCTTTTGCCATTTCAAGAATCATGTTTTATACATGTGTTCCCTGATTTTATCCAATGAATATATGACCCATTTCAAAATAACAAATTTAAATTTAAACAAATAAAGCAAACACTAAAAGGATTGCTGAGCTGTGATCTTTAGCTGCAATATGCAGATTTGCACATCTGACAGGACCTCAGAGAACTGGCTCTGTAGGGGAGGAGGCTGTCCTAAGAGGCTACTGTGTGTGCAGTGTCATAGAGTTAGCTACCAACCAAGCCAGGACTGGAACTCAGATCCCAAGCCTCAATCCCTTGTTCTTTTTTTTTTTTTTTTTGGACAGGGTCTCGCTGTCGCCCAGGCTGGAGTACAGTGGTGCAATCTCAGCTCACTGCAACCTCCGCCTGCTGGGTTCAAGTGATTCTCCTACCTCAGCCTCCCGAGTAGCTGGGATTACAGACACATGCCACCACTCCTGGCTAATTTCTGTATTTTTAGTAGAGACGGGGTTTCACCATGTTGGTCAGGCTGGTCTCGAACTCCTGACCTCAAGTGATTCTCCTGCCTCAGCCTCCCAAAGGACTGGGATTACATGCGTGAGCCACTGCACCCAGCCTTCAGTCCATTGTTCTTTGCCTTCTGACAGCCCTCCTCTTGGGCAGGCTCTGTGGATCTCTTCCAGACTAATATCAGCCCTGAGCCTCAGCCTAAAACAAATGCAGGCAATAGCTGAGAAAGAACTGCTCCCTCCTGGGCCTGCCATGGTCCAACCTGCTACTGGTCAGGTCACCATTTCTTCTCTAGTCTGAGGCACAATTTCCACCTTATTGTGCCCAGCATGGCTTGTCCTTCAGGAACTAATTGAAGTGGAAGGATTTGGAGGATAAGCGTCTGCACACTCCTGCTGGTTCCTGCTGGGCTCCCTTGGTTACCAGACCTCGGGACAGCTCTAGGCCAGTCATGGCCCCTGGCAGTGCTGGCCACATGCCCCAGGGTAGCTGGGCCCCTCCCCGTCGAGAGCCCCGCCATGGCTTCCGTGCCCGCTGGTCCCCCTCCTCTCTCACACTCTTTCCAATTTCTTCCAGGCCTCCCAGCCGACACCCTGCAAGGCCACCGGGACCGCTTCATGGAGCAGTTTACAAAGTAAGTGGTTCAAGTAACAGGAATGGAGGTGAATCCAAGAGCACTATAAAATTTAAGCCACGCAAGAGCACTGTGAGAGGTGGCTGGACACAGTGGTTCATGCCTGTAACCCCAACACTTCGGGAGGCCGAGGTGGGAGGATCGCTTGAGGCCGGGAGTTTGACACCAGGCTGAGCAACATAGCGAGACCCCGTCTCTACAGAAAAAAAAAAAAGCAAAACAAATTACCTGGGCACAGTGGTATGCACCCGTGATCCCAGCTACTTGAGAGGCTGAGGCAGGAGGATGGCCTGAGCCTAGGAGTTGGAGGCTGCAGTGAGCTACGATTGTGCCACTGCACTTCAGTCTAGGTGAGAAGTGAGACCCTAAAAAAAAAAAAAAATTTAAATACTTGGGTTGGGGGGTGAGATTATCTTCTTTTTTTTTTTTTTTTTTTTTTGAGATGGAATCTCTCTCTGTCACCAGGCTGGAGTGCAGTGGTGCAATCTCAGCTCACTGCCTCCGCCTCCTGGGTTTAAGTGATTCTCCTGCCTCAACCTCTCAAGCAGCTGAGACTACAGGCACGCACCACCACGCCCAGCTAATTTTTGTGTTCTTAATAGAGATGGGGTTTCAGCATGTTGGCCGGGATGGTCTCAATCTCTTGACCTTGTGATCTGCCCGCTTCAGCCTCCTGAAGTGCTGGGATTACAGGCATGAGCCACCGCGCCCAACCTGAGGTTATCTTCATTCTAAGGTGATAAAGTGACAGAACGTAGCTCAGACAGAGGCAAATCTACCTATAGCTAGGGCAACTATTGGTTCTCTAATAAATCCCACAGAAGCATATAGAAGAAAGAGATTTCATCCATTCATTAGTTGCCTGCTTATGCCTCTTTTCTTTTCCCTCTCCCGAAGTTCTGGTCTTGTAACATTTGTAGACTGATAACCCCTAACAATGTATCTCTAGCCAGACCTTACTTCTGAATTCCAGCCTCTTGTCCCCAATTTGACATTGGTATAGCATACTTAAATCTCAAACTGTACTCTAGGTTTTCCCCCCAAAAAAAACAAAACCTTTCTCTCTGCATTCTTTTTTTGTTTGTTTGTTTTTGTTTTTGGGACAGAGTCCCACTCTGTCACCCAGGCTGGAGTGCAGTGGTGCGATCTTGGCTCACAGCAACCTCATCCTCCCCATCTCCAGTGATTCTCCTGCCTCAGCCTCCCAAGTAGCTGGCATTACAGGCGCCCACCACCATGCCCGGCTAATTTTTGTATTTTTAGTAGAGACGGGGTTTCACCGTGTTGGCCAGGCTGGTCTCGAACTCCTGACCTCAAGTGATCTGGCTCCCAAAGTGATGGGATTACAGGTGTGAGTCACTGTGCCCAACCCCTCCCCATTCTTTTCTATCTCAACAAATACTGTCATCATCCATTTAGGCCAGAGATCTGGAAGTCACCATTTTCCTCATCCCCCATGTCCAATCCACTAGCAGGTTTGGTTGATACCCTACACCTGCTTCTGAGGTGTGATGGGGGACTGGACTCTGGAGGCAGGAATTAAGGACAAGTAAAACAGGGAAGGGGTGGAAGCATCTCTGCATAAGACGCCCCACCAGTGTGCCGTGACAGTTTACCATTTGGCAACACCCAGAAGTTAGCGCCCCTTTCCATGGCAAAAACCTGACAATCCGGAAGTTACCACTTTTTTTCTAGAAATTTCTGCATAATCTGCCCCTTAATTTGCATATAATTAAAAGTGGGTATATATTTTTGTGTGTGTGTGTATATATATGTATGTATACATGACAGCTGCTATTCTGGGCTCACTGCCTATGGGGTAGCCCTTCTCTGCAAGGAACAGGACCTCTGCTGCTGGCTGTGCACTGCTGCCTCAGTAAAAGCTGCTAACATCGGCCAGGCACGGTGGCTCACGCCTGTAATCCCAACACTTTTGGAGGCCGAGGTGGGCAGATCACTTGAAGTCAGGAGTTCAAGAGCTGCCTGGCCAACATGGTGAAACCCTGTCTCTACTAAAATACAAAAATTAGCAGGGCATGGTGGCACACACCTGTAATCCCAGCTACTCGGAAGGCCAAGGCAGAAGAATCACTTGAACCCGGGAGGTGAAGGTTGCAGTGAGCCAAGATCATGTCACTACATTCCAGCCTGGGCGTCCGAATGAGATTCCATCTCAAAAAAAAAAAAAAAAAGATCTTTATTAGGCTGGGTGCAGTGGCTCACGCCTGTAATCCCAGCACTTTGGGAAGCTGAGGCAAGTGGATCACTTGAGGTCAGGAGTTTAAGAGCAGCCTGGCCAACATGGTGAAACCCTGTCTCTACTATAAATACAAAAATTAGCCCTGTAATCCCAGCTACTCAGAAGGCTGAGGCAGGAGAATTGCTTGAGCTCAGGTGGCAGAGGTTGCAGTGAGCTGAGATCATGCCACTGCACTACAGCTTGGGCAACAGAGCAAGACTCCATTAAAAAAAAGAAGGAAAGGGGTGGGGGGAAACCAGGCAAAAGTGAAGGAATAGAGTGAGAGTTGGGAGGACAGAGGGAGCTGAGAAAGGCCTCCTGGCTTAGCTCTGTGAAAGTACACCCTCTTGTTTTTCCTGTTCATTTCCTCACCCTTGACCATAGTTCCCAAATGCCAAGTTTCAGCCTCTCTGCCCGGTTCCCCAGGAGCAAGCAAAGGACAAGTGTGCGGTTGTACCCACCTCCTGGTACCCCTGTTCCATTTGAGAAGCCGAGTACATATTCTATGATAAATGGCTTCTTTAGTCCAAGGAGACAGGCCCTGGGGCTGATTTCCTGGAATGTCAAATTCCGGTAGCTTGTGAAAGCAGTCGAGCCTATTACTGTTGGCTCCAACCCAGCAAGATGGGGACGTGTGGTCAGGTGATTTCATTTCCTTTCATTTGCTTCTAGCTTATAAAAACAGCTCCCCTGAGTAGCCGCTTTGCTGTCCCACACAGACGCGGCTGCTGTCTGAGACCTCCCTGTCCTTGAATTCAGGGGAAGCAGCAGTGATGTCACAGAGACAGGCCTAAGTCTTGGGGTCTGACAGGATGTAACCCGGGGGGTTCATTTGTTGGGCTAAGCTGGAGAAAGTTCTGTGTTGCAGGCCGAAGGAGTTAAGGCCCATGCACCCCTTTCATCTCAGAATAGATAAGTCTGAGCTGGGCATGATGGTGCATGCCTATAGTTCCAACTACTTGGGAGGCTGAGGTGGGAGGATCGCGTGAGCCCGGGAGGTCGAGATTGCAGTGAGTCGTGATCGTGACATTGCACTTCAGCCTGGGCAACAGAGCAAGACCTTATCTCTAAAAAACTTAAAATAGGTCAGACGTGGTGGCTCATGCCTGTAATCCCAGAACTTTGGGAGGCCAAGGTGGGTAGATTGCTTGAACCCAGGAGTTTGAGACCAGCCTGGACAACATAGTGAGACCCCGTCTCTACCAAAACCACAAAAAAATTAGCCAGGTGTGGTGGCACACACCTGTACTCCCAGCTATTTGGAGGCTGAGGTGGGCCCAGGGAGGTCAAGGCTGCAATGAGCTATGATTGTGCCACTATACGTCAGCCTGGGCAATGGAGTAAGACCCAATCTCAAAAAAATATTTAAAAATAGGCAGGGCATGTTGGCTCACGCCTATAATCCCAACACTTTGGGAGGCCGAGATGGGCAGATTACCTGAGGTCAGGAGTTCGAGACCAGCCTGACCAACGTGGAGAAACCCCATCTCTACTAAAAATACAAAATTACCCGGGCATGGTGGCACATACTTGTAATCCCAGCAACTCGGGAGGCTGAGGCAAGAGAATGACTTGAACCTGGGAGGCGGAGGTTGCGGTGAGCCAAGATCACACTACTGCACTCCAGCCTGAGCAACAAGAGCGAAACTCCATCTCAAACAAAATAAATAAAATAAAAATAAAGAATATATGTCTGGATCCTCTCAGGTTTCTTGGTCTTCAGTGTTTAGATTCAAAATAGAGATTTGAGAATGAGAAAAAGATGTTGAGTTTGCCAGGTGTGGGGTGGCTCATGCGTGTAATCCCAGCACTTTGGGAGGCCAAGGCAGTAGGATTGCTTGAAGCCTGGAGTTTGAGACCAGCCTGGGCAACATAGCAAGACCCTGTTTCTACCAAAAAATTAAAAATTAGCCGGGCATGATGGTGCATCCCTGTAGTTCTAGCTACTTGGGAGGCTGAAGCAGAAGATCACTTGGGCCCAGGAATTCGAGGCTGCAGTGAGCTATGATTGCACCACTGCACTCTAGCCTGGGTGACAGAGCAAGACCCTGTCTCTACAAAAAGAGAGGGAAAAAAAACAATATTAGTTTCTTCATGCGTATATCCACCCAAGATTAGGACATAGTACCAAACGATTGTAATTCTCCAAGTGTTTATTGAACAGTTCCCCTGTCCCTGGCACTATGGGAAACAGCTCAGCAGAGCTCAGTCCCCACTTCCCAGGAACTTATAGTCCTAATTGTGAAGAGAACGAATAGTCCAAAAACAAAGATAAGTAATGAAAGAAGAGAGCTACCTTTGTAATTAAATTCCCTTCCCTTTTCCTATAGTTAGTTGGCTTATCCTCAGAGAAAGTCCATTTCTTTTCATGTTACTCTAAACCAAACATTTCTCGGAAGTTAAGTCTGCAAGATAACAACGTATATTCTACAGCAATGAAGAAATTAGCTTTTGGATTGTCTACTCTTCCAAAGGATGTGTAGCATGAATTACTCTTTCCTCACTACCAGGTCACTGAGGACCAGCTTTAAATAATCCTCCTCTGTAGCATCATAATTGAGTCCCAGTGCCATGGAGTTTATCTCCTTGACAGCCTGTGCCTTGGGGCTGGGGAGGGGGCAGGAAGGCCAGGTGGCTGCTCTGTCCCCTACATGGGGCTGATGAAGACACCCAGCACCCCTCAGGTCCTTCTCCATCCCTAGGTTGAAAGAGCTGTTCTACCGCTCCAGCAACCTGCAGTACTTCAAGCGGCTCATTCAGATCCCCCAGCTGCCTGAGGTAAGCGTGCCTGACCGCACACCGTCGGCACTGCAGAAGCCCCAAGTACCCTCTTAGAGGCCAGCGGGGCCTGGCAAGCGAGCACTGTTTGAGGATGTGTCTCCATCTTCAGAACCCACCCAACTTCCTGCGAGCCTCAGCCCTGTCAGAACACATCAGCCCCGTGGTGGTGATCCCTGCAGAGACCTCATCCCCCGACAGTGAGCCAGTCCTAGAGAAGGATGACCTCATGGACATGGATGCCTCTCAACAGGTGAGGACCACTTGGGAGAGAAACATGGCCTTTCCTCTTGCCTGCAAGTACGGGGAGAGGCTGGGGGAGACCCTGGCCAAAGCCCATTGACTCTAGCCAGGTTCAGCCTTCTCTTCACCTAGCACCAACCTAGGCTGAGCATCCTGCTCTGTGACAACCAGAAGGATCATAAATGGGTCTGGCTGGGTGCAGTGGCTCACAGCTGTAATCCTAACACTTTGCAAGGCTAAGGTGGGAAGATTGCTTGAAGCCGGTTCAAGACCAGCCTGGGCAACAGAGTAAGACCCCATCTTTACAAAATTAGCCAGACGTGGTGGCACACATGGCTGAGATGGGAGGATCGCTTGAGCCTAGGAGGCTAAGGCTGCGGTGGGCTGTTATCATGTCACTGCACTCCAGCCTAAGCAAGAGAACAAGAACCAGGTCCTAAAAAAATAAATAAATAAAACAAAAATTAAAAAATTATCCAGGCATGGTGGTACACACCTATACTTCTAGCTACTCAGGAGGCTGAACCAGGAGGATCACTTGAGCCAGGAGTTGGAGGCTGCAGTGAGCTATGATTGCACCACTGTACTCTAGCCTGGGCAGTAGAGTGAGAACCTGTCTCAAAAAAAAAATTTAAAAAATTAAATTGTCTGAACCAAATTGAGAAAGGGGGCATTCTCCCATGTCACCAAACTGACCCACACACAGAATTCTCTGGCGCTCTGACTTATTCTCACTCCTTTTTGGTCAACCACAGAGTTTATTTGACAACAAGTTTGATGACATCTTTGGCAGTTCATTCAGCAGTGATCCCTTCAATTTCAACAGTCAAAACGGCGTGAACAAGGATGAGAAGTGAGTCCAACCTGGGTTTAGGCAGATGGTGCAGGAGCTAAGTTAAGCCATGGTCTGCCTCGAAACACTAACCAAAGAGGAATTCTTAATGATACCAGGGCTTCTTAGATAAAGAACATCTCGAAGGGCCGGATGCAGTGGCTCACGCCTATAATCCGAACGTTTTGGGCGGATGAGGCAGGAGGATTGCTTAAGGCTAGGACTTCAAGACCAGCCTGGGCAGCATAGCAAGACCTCATCTCTATTAAATAAAAGTAAAAAAATTAGCTGGGCAGGTTGTACACACCTGTAGTCCCAGTTACTCAGGAGGTTGAAGTGGAAAGATCACTTGAGCCTGGGATATCAAGCCTTCGGTGAGCTGTGATCATGCCACTACACTTCAGCCTGGGCAACAAAGCCAGACTGTCTCTAAAACAAAACCAAAAACACACACAAAAAGAATGTCTTGACCCTCAAATATTGGCCCCTTTAATCTCAGAAGAAAATCAATAACCATGGACTTATGAGTATTAGATTAGTATCTTTTAACATTTAGAGTATAATTCATGGCATTTCAAAGAATTGTCCCCAAATTAATACCAGCTTTTGATTTCCTACCCTGAGCTCACAATTTAAAAGAGAGGGATAGAAGCACTATGGAAGCAAACTCATTCCCCTTCTCTTCCCAGGGACCACTTAATTGAGCGACTATACAGAGAGATAAGTGGACTGAAGGCACAGCTAGAAAACATGAAGACGGAGGTATGCCTTGGATCTGCTCTGCCTTTGCGATTCACCAAAACACGGTAGATTTGAATGTTAAATTTGCATCACACTGGCCAGGCACGGTGGCTCACACCTGTAATCCCAGCACTTTGAGAGGCCAAGGCGGGAGGATTACCTGAGGTCGAGAGTTTCACCCTGGGAAACCCCGTCTACAATAAAAATACAGTAATTAGCCGGTGTGTTGGCAGGCACCTGTAATCCCAGCTACTTGGGAAGCTGAGGCATGAGAATTGCTTGAACTTGGGAGGCAGAGGTTGCAGTGAACTGAGATCACGCCACTGCACTTCAGCCTGGGCGACAGAGCAAGACTCTGTCTCAAAAAAAAAAAAAAAAAAATTGCATCACATAGACACTTTTTGGACTTCATCCTTAGGGTAGGTTAATTAGTAGAAACAAGCCAGGCGTGGTGGTGCACGCCTGTGATCCCAGCTACTGAGAAGGCTGAGATGGGAGGATCACTCAAGCCCAGGAGTTCTGAATCCAGCAACGTAGGGAGACCCCCGTCTCTAAAACCAAATAAAAGCTGGTAGAAATGCTAAATCCAAAATGTGTTCTCTGTCATAATGCATTTCCATTTGACATGCCATGAGGACAGCATTTAGGCCAGGCGCAGTATCCATATGATTGATGCCCAGAGATGACCTTGGTCCCCACAAGGCTGAGAAGCTCTGGGGAACAAGACCAGACCTTCTCACATGGCGATAAGGAGAGATTGGTTTGCTGGGCACAGTGGCTCCCGCCTGTAACCCCAGCACTTTGGGAGGTTCAGGCAGGAGGATCACTTGAGCCCAGCAGTTCAAGACTAGCTCGGGCAACATAGTAAGTCCCCATCTCTGCAAAAAACTTTTTAAAAATTAGCTGGGCACGGTGGTGCATAACTGTAATGCCAGCTACTCGGAAGGCTGAAGCTAGAGGATCTCTTGAGCCCGGAGGTTGAGGCTGCAGTGAGCCACTATCATCTCACTGCACTCCAGTCTGGGTGATAGTGGTACCCTGTCCCACGCCCCCCGCCAAAAAAAAGAAGAGATGATGTCAGCAGTGTTGGTGCCATATTAACAACCGCCCCTCACAGTGGCTGCTCAGGTGACTTTACCCAAAGGGACAGCCAGTGCTACCCCCAGTCACTCTAAAGAGGACCACAATTCCCCTGTCATCATGCCCAGTTATGGCTGTTGATTGAGGAGCTCCTAACGACCAGATGGTCCAGCCCTCCTGGGCCGTGGGGAGTTGACTTCGGGGAACCGGGTATTTACTTGGAAGCACGGTAGGACCCGCTTCTCCAGCCCTTGCCCGTGACCCGTGGCAGTGGGCAGCTGGCCTCATGACCCGAGTCCCCCACAGAGCCAGCGGGTTGTGCTGCAGCTGAAGGGCCGTGTCAGCGAGCTGGAAGCAGAGCTGGCTGAGCAGCAGCACCTGCGGCAGCAGGCGGCCGACGACTGTGAGTTCCTGCGGGCAGAACTGGACGAGCTCAGGAGGCAGCGGGAAGACACCGAGAAGGCTCAACGGAGCCTGTCTGAGATAGAAAGTGAGCGGTGGGTGGGGGCAGGGGCGGGCCCGGGGGGCAGGCGCAGGCAGCAGAGCCCAGCTGGACTCAGGATGCGGCACAGAGGCTGGGCGGGGGAGCCCCAGACTGTCTTTCTAGAAATAGTCAGGAATGCCAGCTCTTAGCCTCAGTCCAGAGGGTGGGTTTGAGTCCTGCAGGCACAAAGCCCTGTGTGAGGCACTGCTGAGCACAGAGATGGGAAATACAGAAGATGGCCCTGAAGTGCTTGCTCTGGGCAGTGGATACTAAGGGAGAAGGAGAGAGGACTGAGGTCCTAACAAAGAAATTGACATACAAGCTGAGAGCACAGTGGCTTATGCTTGTAATCCTAGCACTCTGGGAGGCCAAGATGGAAGGATTGCTTCAGGCCAGGAGTTCAAGACCAACCTGGGCAACATAGCAAGACCCCATTTCTAGAAAAAATAAAAAAGATTAGCCGGGCATGGTGGCACACGCCTGTAGCCCCAGCTACGCTTGAGGCTGAGACAGGATCACTTGAGCCCAGGAATTCAAGGCTGCAGTGAGCTGATTGTACCACCGCACTCCAGCCTCGGTAACAGAGAGCCTTGTCTCTATAAAAACTCAATTAAATGTTTTAAAAAGCTGAAAGCCCCCATAGAATAAATGCCATGTATGTAAGTGCTGAAGAGGCATGAATCCCTGGCTTGATTTTATTGTTGTTGTTTTCTTTTCTTTTCTTTTCTTTTTCTGAGACAGAGTCTCCCTCTGTCGCCCAGGCTGGAGTGCAGTGATGTGATCTGGACTCACTGCAACCTCCGCCTCCCAGGTTCAAGCGATTGTCCTGCCTCAGCCTCCTGAGTCACTGGGATTACAGGCGCACACCACCATGCCCGTCTGATTTTTGTATTTTTAGTAGAGATGGGGTTTCACCATGTTGGCCAGGCTGGTCTCGAACTCCTGACCTCAGGTGATCCACCCACCTCAGCCTCCCAAAGTGCTGGGATTACAGGCGTGAGCCACCTTGCTTGGCCCCTGGCTTGATTTTTAACCAGTTGAATTCTTTTTAAAGATGACTTCCCAGAGAAGTTTCTGTAAGTAGAATTTTCAAGGGAGAAAAACATATATGCATTCCTGAAATCAAAGGAGGATCTTTGGCCGGGCACAGTGGCTCATGCCTGTAATCCCAGAGGTGGGAGGATTGCCTGAGCCCAGGAGTTTAAGACCAGCCTGGCTGACATAGTGAGACCCCGTCTCTACAAAAATCAGTCGGGTGTGGTGGCATATCCCCATGAGCCCAGCTACTCGGGAGACTTGGGGGGAGGATGGCTTGAGCCCAAGGAGGTCGAGGCTGCAGTGAGCAGTGATTGTGCCACTGTAACCCAGCCTGGGTGACAGAGAAAGATTGTCTCAAAACAAAACAAAACAA